AACGCTAACGGTTTAAAAAATCATGTAAATGAGCTCCAATTCGCGCTTCACAATAAACGTATCGACATTGCGGTCATTACGGAAACTCATTTAATACAGTATTCAAATTTTTACATTCCTGGTTATAAGCTGGTGAAGGCTAATCATCCGGACAATACTGCTCACGGTGGTGTCGCCATTTTTATCAAATCTTCAATAATATTTCAATCTCATCCAAATTACTGTTACGATCACTTACAATCGTGCACTGTACTAATACACTTAAGTAATATTCCTGTGACAATATCAGCATTATATTCCCCTCCAAAACACAAAGTTTTAAATGTAGACTTCCACAATTACTTTAGTACCCTTGGCAATAATTTTATTGTGGGAGGCGACTATAATGCCAAACATCAAAGTTGGGGTTGTCGCTCAAATAATTCTCGTGGCTGTGTTCTTCATACCTACGCAAGTGCAAAAAACTTAAATGTACTTGCCCCTCCTGACCCTACCTATTGGCCTTCTTCTCCACGTAAAAATCCTGACATACTCGATATTTTTGTCACAAAAATTCCCTCCAGTCTACACTCCTCTGTTGTTAACCTCCTGGATCTTAACTCTGACCACTCGTCAGTCCTATTTACACTCAATACCTTTCCGCTAACTCGCTCTGCGCCACCTAAACTATTTAATCCCTCTACCGACCGTTTAAAATTTCACAACCTCGTAAATCAGGGCGTTAAGCTAAATGTTAAACTTAAATCTTCCAATGACATTGATTTAGCTATAAATAATTTTACAAATTTGATCCAGTCAGCGGCTTGGTCATCCAATTCACACACACATCATCCTCTAAATCAGACTTCAGTTCCTTCTGATATTCATCTATTAATTGCAGATAAGAGAAGGGCTAGAGCTCTTTTCCGACGTACTCGCCTTCCCTCTCTTAAACATAACTATAATAAACTCTCTAATCTCCTTAAAAAAATGTTGGCCAAACACAAAGCCTCCTTACTTGTAAAATTCTTGACGAATCTGTCTCCTAATGACGGCAGTCTTTGGAGAGCCACTAAAATAACATGTAAACTCAATTCTCCTAACGTACCAATTAAAAAATCAGATGGATCCTTTGTTTGCTCCGACTGGGAAAAAGCCGAATTATTTAAAGATTTTCTTCATGAGACATTCCAACCCCATCCTGAAATCTTCTCTCTTGAAAATAATCTTGCTGTTGCCGAGTCTCTAAATTCGCCTCGTCCTGTTTCTCGCCCTGTAAAACACTTTTCACCAAGTGAAGTCAAATTTGTTATTGATAAGTACCCACAGAAAAAATCTCCAGGTTTTGATCTCATAACAGGCGAAGTTGCCAGATGCTTACCAAAAAAAGCTATAATACATCTCACCCACATTTTCAATTGTATTTTAAGACTTTCTTACTTTCCAATATTATGGAAATTTTCAACTATTATTATGATTCCCAAGCCTAAAAAACCTCCAGATGCCGTATCTTCCTTCCGTCCTATTAGTCTTCTGCCTTTTTTCGCAAAAATTCTGGAAAAATTGATCCTTAAGCGCATCTTACCTAGTATCTCAAACTCGATTCTACCTGATACCCAGTTTGGCTTCCGTTTTGCCCACTCTACGATTCATCAGGTACACAGGATTGTCGATGCCATCTCGTACTCACTCGAAAAAAACAGTATTGTACTTGTGCCTTCTTAGATGTGTCACAAGCGTTTGACAGGGTATGGCACGATGGTCTTCTTGTCAAATTAAAAAAAATCTTGCACCCTGTATTTTACCTAACCATTAAATCATACCTGTCAAACCGTCATTTTCAAATCAGATTCAGTAATGCACACTCAACTATATCCAATATTTCAGCCGGTGTTCCCCAAGGGGGTATACTCTCTCCCATACTTTATAACATTTATGCTGCTGACCAACCTACCACACCAAACACTTTAGTAGCTGATTATGCAGACGATAAGGCAATAATATCTATCAATTCAAATCCGGAAATAGCTTCATACAACCTTCAAAATCACTTAACCCTTATGGAAGACTGGTATACCAAGTGGCGAGTTAAAATTTACCAGACAAAATCTGTCCACACTACATTTACACTGCGTCTCTCTCCATGCCCCGAGGTATCTATTTATGGTACTCAAATCCCTTCTTCTTCCACTGTCAAATATTTAGGACTTACACTTGATCGCAGACTTACCTGGGCTCCTCACCTTAAATCTAAAAGACAAAATTTAAACCTACGGCTGCGCTTGTTAAAAACTTTCTGCAATAACAATAAATACACAAACCTTAAAACTAAACTTCTTATTTATAAATCTCTAATCAAGCCCATCTGGACATATGGCATACAGCTATGGGGTAATGCGAAAAAATCCAACATCAACAAGATTCAAACTTTTCAAAATATTGCGCTAAGGAAACTACTTAATGCCCCACCTTACGTCTCCAACCATTCTATACAACAAGACCTCAGGATGAATTCCGTCAAAGACGAAGCAAAAATTTATTATAAGCGTTTTCACAGTAGGTTACCCAACCATCCTAACCCTCTTATAAAAAATCTGGCAATCCCTTCGATTCCGGGTAATCCTGCTAGGCGTCTTAAACGCAACTGGTGTCGTGACCTGCTAAATGCTTGACCCCTAGAAAATCCCCTTACTAATCTGAAACAAAATAGGTAGTGTCATCATTGGGTGGCTTCTTCCGTCAAATTTTTCATGTTTTTATTACTCTTAGCAAATTTACTTATTGTTCTACGAATAGATTGTAAATATCATGTAAAAATAAAAAAAAAAAAAAAATATGAAAATGCAGAAACAGTGAATGGAAATGTTATTGAAACATGATTTTCAATTTTCCTTAGCCTTTTTTGAATAACATGGACACTAAGAAATGTGGTTCCAGCAAAACGATACTTCCTGTCACACTTCTGTTCCCTGAAAAAATTGACAGCTGACTCAATTCCTTCTATGGCGACTAGCAGTGGCCACTAAGGTGTGATTTACTCTTTATAACTTCTTCCTTAGGGGTTTCATTAAATTATTGTTTTACATAGACAAGTCGAGAACTTCATTGAATGTTAAGCAAAAAATGTGATTAGTTATTACTTATTAGTGAACTTAATAGGCAAGTCTGTGAAAATTTGAATAGTAATTGCATTGACAGAGTAACTGTGTGCCGAACGATAAGAAGGGGATAATATGCACAATTTCATGTTTCACACTTAAACCTCAACTCGTAATGAATCAATATATTTCATTTATAATGTATTTGAGTATTTCTCATAAAATTAAAATAATTTATAGCAAAATCAAAAACTGCGTTCTTTATGAAACATCCTGTACATTATTGTTCACTATATATTATACAATAACATTTTCAAAATATTTTGACTAATTTCAAGCTAATTGCCTAATTGTATCATGTAATGATTTACACAATCATGCTAATCTAAAATTAAAAATTACTATTACATAATTTATATTTTATACTATTATGTCAGCAAAAATTAGTTCAACTTATCGTATTACTTTTATAATAAAAAAATAAAAATTAATAATAATATACTAATATCTAAAATTATAGTCTGTTGCATTGATTATAGAATAAACTATAATCCATCAATCAATCAATGGTTTGTTGATGTACGAGTACCGGCGTACCTACGACCTATATTACAATATTTTCTATAGTACCTAATAAGTTTTGTTTGTTTTTATGAGTGTAACTGTTCCACAACTAAGTTGTATAATATCTCACTCATGGTTCTAAAATTTGGAAAACATTATGTTATCTTCTACACTAGGATGTACATCTAATAACTATTTTTTTTTAATTAGCACTAAGTCGGAACATTAAAATATATATACCAATATTGTTTCAATTACATTTTTATTTGAAAAAATAATAATACGAAGAATATAAAAACATCAAATGTTATTAATACGTTTAATTGATTTTAAAATAAATGACATCTTTCACTGAGATAGATACCTATTTTTCAAAAATATTAACATATTTAAAAAAGAAAAGTGAAAACCAAATTTCTGATCACTTATCAAGTATATCTGCACAAGTACTTAATTAATGTAAAATTTGGCCCTCAATACTTACATTTTATGTTTACCAATGTCAAATACATTTATTGGAGTATTGGATGAGTATTTGTCAAATTAATAAAGTATACATTAAAGAAAAATCACAGTTAAATATTGAAACTTTTAAAGCTATAAGGTTACCAAAATAAATATTGAAATAATAAAATGAAATATCTTTAGTTTTATTATTGTATAAAAAAATGTCTTTCATTGATAAATTTAATTGTGTCTTATTATAAGTAGGTTATTATTTTACTAAATAATTTTAAGACTACTTATCCTAATAATACATGATATATTTGAAACGCCCAAAGGCGAATGTGTTTGACCCACAGAGTAAGAATAAAATTAAAAAATTTGACCCGTTTTTACAAAACAAATAGGTTTTAAAAACCAAATAGGTAAACCTATCGGCTATCTGGTTACATCACCCATATTTATTCTAATACCTACTCTAATATCCATAGAAGCATTTTATACAATGAACACGTCTTATTCCCATAGACTTAATACTGAATATAAAGTCTTAATTAATAATTATTAGTATGCTTGTTCCAAAAAAATATTTCTTTCGATAGGTAATCACTTTTTCCACAAAATATCAATAATTGTTCCAATGTTTTTTTATTCAAAAAAAGGTTTGGGTTTTGGAACAAATTACTATTGGAATAAATGTTTTGTGGTACTATAGGTTAAATATGTTGTCCTGTTTATCAGTTTATCAACCATGCTCCTGCGACTGGGAGAATGGATTAATGATTGCAAATTCTAATAAAGTTATAATTTTCTTTTATATTACTTATATTAGTTATTTTATTATTTTAGTAATACAGTTTTACACGCATTCATTTTAATTTGGTTCTCAATATTTAATTTAAATTACAGTTAATTTATTATACTACCTACGTATAAAAAAATGTGTTTGGTCATAGTGTAAAAACAGTTAGTATTTAAAGAAAATTATTTAGTTGTAGTATTATAGGTAACTAGTTTTGAAAAGATATTTTTAAAATGTTAAATAACTACAGGTATGTTGCATTATTTGTTTTAAGTTATAATATTTGTAATAAAAATATTTACATTAGTTTTGAATAAGTATAATATTTTATGATCTTTATCTCATGGATAGGACTGCATTCTTAAGAAAATCCAATGAAACTATTCAATTATTTCGACTATCATCTAGTACTTTAGAAAAATTGTCAAGTAATGGAATTAAAATTGATATACCTAAATATATAAATCGAAGTTCAACTGATATATTAAAAGTAAATATTATTAATTTTAGCATATATACATATATCTTTTAGAATACTTAATGAAAAATAAAAAATATTTATCACATTGAAAAATTACAAATTTGTAATTTATCAGGCAATTTCAAGTACTATACAACGAGATCCAACAGCTGCTCACTATAAATATCACGATGACCCATATTTAATTCCAGTTTCAAATTTTCAAAAAAGAGCTTATGCTTTAAGTCAAGAATCTGGTAGAAAAGCAGCACATTGGATTTGCAATCAACACCCTGAATTGTTTAATCATAAAGTAGCATTTCCTCCTATTGAGGTATAATTTTAAATAAATATTCAAATATTTGTAATATGAATCAGCAATTTTATGTAAGCTTGGGTTTTTTTAATTCATTTAGGAATCATTTAAGTTTTATATTAATTCAACTTATAAACTCTTTGCTATCATTTATCATATTATTTTTAGAATTTTAAAAAAGTATTATTTCAAAGTACAATACTTTTCAAACTTTATTAATATTCAAATATTAAATAAGAACAATAATTATTCAATAAAATTTATAGTAATATTTTGAAAAAAAAAAATTGTGTTATAGAATATTTAAGCAAAAGGTTATAATTCAAAATAAGTTATTAACCAATTATAAAAATTAGTTAGCAATTTTAAAAGTTAGTCGTCCAAATACTTAATTGTTCTATTAAAAAAAAAAATGTACATATTCTTTAAAGATGATCACTGATTCATATTATAAAAAATACTATATTACATAAGAAAAATTAATTATTTAATTGTTATTTACTTCAGAAATTTTATCCAAAAGTTATTTATGATGAAAATTGCGAGTTAGATGAGAATGAATTAAAAAAAATAATTGAAAAATCTTTTGTGTCAGATGCTATAACTGTTCATAACCTGTTAATAAAAAAAGGCATAGGTAATTATTTTTAAATATTATTCTTATATAATTATATTATATACTAAAATATTTTTATTTTTATTTCAATGATTATTAGAAATAAGTTCAGATACACAACAATCACTTTTGGAGTTAGTATGTTTTTACAATAATCAAGATGATCTAGAAGAAGATTGGATTGAAGAACGTTGGTATACACAAACAAATAAAGATCGAGAAGAATTTAGAAATACTTGGAAGTATGTATTTAAATAATATGTACAGTATTAGTAATATTAATTGCACTATTATTTATTTTAGCATATATAATTTTTAACAACCTTATTTTATTATAATTTTAGATCTAATGGATTTGCAATGAATCTTTTTTCAACTATTAAATCTCCTAAACCTCATCATTATTCAACAATTATACAAGGGATGGCAAAATATAATCAAGTAAAATTAATTAATTTTCTTATTATTTTTTTAGTTTTAGATTTTTAGCAATAATGTTATAATTATTTGGTATTTTATTAATTAAAAGTTTGAAGAAGCATATAAGTTGTACAAAGAAGCTAATGAAAAAGGATTTGTTTTAACAACCAATGCATATAATTCAGCTATAAGAACAGCTGTTTATGTCAAAGAAGGAGCAGATCATAAGTGGCTCCATATTCAAGTAAATTAATATAATTTTGTATTTTAAGATGGTATATAAATAGACTATCATAAGGGGATTAAGGTTAATTGAGAATTATGTTATGGTTAAAATTTAAATATCCTTTTAAATAATAAAATATTAATTTTTGAGGAGTTAATCTTAGATTATACAATAAACCTTGAAATTGATTTTAAAAACAGAATACATTTATAATATTGATAGTAATTATTATTTGCTCCTAACTGAGAATATTTGTTATTGATTGAAAACGGGTACTTGCAAAATTTTTTATTTTTGTGTTTTCTGAGTTTTAAGATCATATTTAAAAATATTAAGTGGAATATTCCTTGTTTTTGGTAGGAATTTATTCTTACATTCATAATATTTATGACCAGTGGTATTATGGGGCGAAAGTAGTGAGTGAGTTTATTGGACACTACTGATTCCTTAATGTTTAACATTAAAGTTGTTTAAAATATAATTCAATTTATTTTTAGTATTTCCATTGTAATTTTAATCTTAGCTGATTATGATTATTTTAAAGAAAATATGTTTAACTTATTGTTATTCATGTTATGGTTAAAACAACTACATAAAATAAATAACATATATTAACAATATATTTTCATACCCTAAGTATTTTAATATTTCACATACTTTTTAATCAGGCATTGCTACATGATTAAGAGTTTATTTCTTAAGTTAATTATAGGTATTATTAAAACAAATATTGCAGTCATATTGAACTATTTACAGCAACTTACAAATTTATAAATTTGACAATAATTAATAATCATTTCATTTTTTTTTCAATAGGTTTTATAAATATATTCATATGTATTAATTTGTAATATATTTACTATTATGAATAAAATAAAAGAATTTATATTATAAATTTATATTATGCTATACTATAATTTATAAGATTATTATGTAACTAATAGTATAATATTCACATCTATCAACACTTTTTGAAGCTGAGATTGTTGAATAGGTGGTATAAATATTTTATTTATTTAAAGATAAAATTAATTTTTGAAAACAGTAAAACTTAAGATATTTTATAATATTTTATACATTGTGAATTTTAGTTAATAGAATTAAGAGCCACTAGTTTATTTTTTCATGAGTATTTTTAACTTTAGTTACATTCACATTACACAAAATTTTGATTATCTTATTGAAAAAAGGTTTTAGATTTTTATTAATATAATATCTCACATGTTATTGCATTTGCATGCTTTATTTTTTAAATCTTTAAATTTTGCTGTTATATTACAATAATAATAATAATAATTATTATTATAAAATACAAGTATATATTATACCTAAGTTTAATAATATGATATATGTTTTTTACCATTTATATTTTTTTCAGGAAATATTAACTCAAATGAATGATTCAGGTATACCGATGAATTTGTGGACTTTAAATTCAATTCTTAATGTTTTATCTACTATGGTAACAAATTCTGAATCAAAAAAATATGCATTAAAAACCATTGCTGAAGCTAAACAATTTGGTATTGAACCATGTTTAGCATCATACTATTATTTATTACAGATATTTTGTGCAGACAGTAAGTTAAAAATGTTAAATATTATTATAATTAGATGATTTATTTTAAACATTTTGTTATAAAAAAAAATAAGAGTACTATTCTAGTTGATATATTAAATTATATCGAAGAAAAATCATTAAGCATCAAAGACTTGGTTGACGTAAATTTTTTTACTGCTGCTATGGAAAATTGTCGTTACCATTTACAAAGTGTTGATGTTGCCCTAAGAGTTCATTCTATTTTGTTAAAGGAAAAAAATTATAATTTAATTGGAGATTCATACAGAGAATCAGTCTATTAGTAAATATTTTTGTTTCATAAAAATTGCCATTACTGTTTTTTTAGTAATTGAAAGGGTTCGGAATGCAAATAAATAACTTTAAAAATATATATTTTTATTAATAATACATACACAAATAGAATAAATACCATATTACATTTTCTGGCTCTTGTCACCTGTAAACGTTTTCTCTTTTTAAATTATCAATTTATCATTATAATTTTATGTTACGTATTTTTCAATAATAAACTAAAACAACCCATGTGGATTACCATGTTCCTTAATTTAAGTGGAAATTGAATGATCATAATTTAAAATGTATAAGAATATAAAATAGCTTTTCTTTTTTTGCGTACTTTTACCTTATTAGTTTTTTTTTTTATTTATATTACCTAAAATTCGAACCCTAATAATTAGTTTATTATAAAATGTTTAAATATAAGTTTTTAATTTTCATTTATTTTTAGTCGGCATTTTTTTGCTTTATTATGTCAAAATGAATCTGTTGAATTTTTGATGAAATATTACAATGATTTGGTTCCACACATATACATACCTGAACCAACCATTACTGAGGTAACACTATAATATAAGAATTTTAATTTGTGTTATAATATTGTTATTTTTAACTCAAATTTTAATTTCTAAAATAAATAAATTAAAATTAAATGCTGAAAAAATTGATTAAATGAAACATTCTTAAATTATTTATCATAATATACTTTGTATTGTATAAATAAAACCTTGACCTGCAACCAATTTTTGTCCAATTTTATCTTATCACGTTTTTAGTTTTATTTTCTGACGGTTAACTGTGACAATAAATTGTTTTACTGTATTAATCTTTTTAAATTTAATTTAAGCGGTTGTTGAAATAATATAATGTTACCCAGGGGAATTTGATTATCATTGTGTGTTAGCTATATCACAAGCCTTAGATAACTCTTTATACAATACAGTATATAATGATAGATTTTAATATATTTTTTTTTTTTAATATTTAATTTTTTATTACAGCTGATTGTGAAGTCTATAAATATTGCTGCAGCAGTTGAATTTTACCCTAAAATTTGGTCAGACATTTTAATGTTTGATCAAGCAGATAGAGAACCCATTATAATAGAGTTAACAAATGGTATGGCTCAAAATTTGTTCCCAAGTCTTGAACCATCTATTAAAGAAAAATTAGGCATATTATCGGGTACAATTTATGATGCTATTGATGAAAGAAAGGAAGCTGGTAAAATAAAAATGTCGTAAGTGTAACAAATTGTAATTTATACTGAAACTATAAATTCAAGAAATACTGAACCTTAAAAAATAGTTTATTAAATTTTCAACTAATTTTTAAACTTAATTATAAAATATATTTAGGGTAAAATGAAAGAGCTATTAGTTTTCATCTATAATTTATGTATATAAAAAAAAAAAAAATAATATTAAAACAGTCTAAACTTTTAAACCTATCATATTGTTCTTTTATGAAAAAGTCATGTTATATAAATTATATTTTTATAGTTAAATGTAATTGTAAGTTATGTGATCAGGAGAGTTTCATTTTAAGTGAGTATCTGTAGTCTAAATTATATAAACTATTGGCGAGAGGTAAAAGATCACTATTCTAGGGAACTCTAGTCTTAATACTCTGGACAGTCATTTTTGATGTATTGAATTTATTAAAATAATTTTGAAGTTCATAGAGTTGTCTTTAATTTTTATAATTAGTATTTTTTAAATAATTATTAAGAATTATGTAGTAGTTTTGAAAAACTGCTTAATATAAATAAATAAAATAAATGTGTATTCACCAAACAACTAATTTTTTTTCCTGTGAACAGAGAATTAATAAGTTGAATGACTAAACTGAATAAACAATAATATGTTTATAATAACATTTTATTTATTATAAATTAATTATTATTGGAAAATAAAAAAATACAATTATAAATATTTTCAGTGCATAATATATTTTATTTATTTTAGATGGACTGGTAATATATTGGGAAATTTGATAGACATCTGTTTGTTTGGAGATAATATTAATAAGGCAACTGAAATTATTGTGAAACTGCATAAACATCAAAATTACATTATTGGAATTCCAGATAGCCATACAATTTCTAAATTTGTAGATTATTGTATTGAAAATAATTGTTTTAATGAATTATTAGTAAGTAAAATAAAAATAAAATATATAAATATTAATTTAAAATTCGATATAAGTAGTTCTAATATCTATTGTTGTCTATTTATTTTAAAATCACATATATTTTAAATGAAATATTTATTTATTTCAGATTTAATAATAATTATATTGTTTATAAGATATTATTTCAGTATAATCAAGAAAAAAAAAAGCTACACTTGTCCTTTAATGATATTACTTATTTTTCATTTTTGTAATAAGTTTTCTAAACTTATAGTATGATTTATATAGAATATAATAAAACATATTTTTTGTTTTATTTTTATAATTAAGCATTAGTAAAAAAAAAATAATTATACCAGAGAAATGTAGTTACCAAAATATTATTCAAAATTGAAAATAAATTAGTTAAATTAGAATTGGGCAACCAATTAATTAATCTGCCAATCTGGATTATCATAAATTGATCTCTTTTTCTGATTAAATCTAGATTTTTAATCAAAATTCAAGTCTTTATATGAAATATACTTAGCATCAAGTTTTTATCGTATTTCAGATATCATGTATCATGCATGCATAATTTACATATTTATTTTTAAAATCACTATTGCAAAACTTTTAAGTGATATAGGTAGCAATTCTAAAACTAATTTTAGTTACTAAAAATAAAAGACAGTTCATAACTAAAATTGAAAACAATTTTAAATTGTATTTTATCTTAATTTTTAAAAATTACTGTCGTTACTTAAATTACTTTGTTATATTATGCCATTATGATATATAACTATATTATGATATAAAATTTCAATTAAAAAAATAAGCTAATTTAAAATTAAGTTCATTATATTTTTAATTAATTAATATTTTGTGTTTACTTTAGAAATGCATTGAATACTCTTTGGAAGTAAATTATCTTGAACTAGATGATTTCATTTCAAAAATTATGACAAAAATGACTTTATCACCTATGCAGCGAGCACATTTGTCAAAATTGGTTGGAACAGAACATTATATTGAAATTGAAAATAATATTGAACCTGCTAGCAATTAAGTTCATTTCTATTTTCAAATTTTAGTAATGTATTACATAATATAATTTTTTTTTTTACTATATTATTTGATATTTCAGTTAAATGTATTTTTTTAACTAATAAATAATATCATTTACGTTAGATCCTTTATTTTGACAATTGTTAATAAAAAATAAATTAAAATATACATTTTACTTATTTGTTTAAAACAATAAGATGGTTCATTTTTAGTTTTTTTTTCATTATATCTTAGTTATAATAGTTATGAAAATTTTATAATAAAAAATCTGCCTGTACATAAACTTATTGGATTTATCTACAGAATATTTAAATTAAATAAATTCTACATACACTTATAACTTACACAATATACTACAATATAGGCTTTTATATTTATAACACTTAATAGAATAATAACAATGGAAGAACCAGAGTTCATGATTTGGAAAAAAGGTCAGCACTCATTTGTAAATTACCATTGATATAATACATGGGCCGGTCAGTAGCAATAAATTGAAGACTTACAAGTATTTATGATGATCAACAATGTGATAAGGATAATATTTTTTAGGAAACCAGATGTATTGGTTGAGATTGATAAAGTTTAAGCATAGGATGTACATCACTAGAGCACTGTAAAAAAACAGGATCATTATATTATGAGAATCCCATAGGAAGACAGCGATAGGAGTGGTATGACCAAAAAGAACATATTCTTTAAGGCTCTCCTGCCAGATGTGATTTTAATAGTATTAGAGCAACCACCTTTATGTCAATCTATACAAGAAATTACATTTGGATTTGGAATAATTATTTTCATATATTAAAAAATTTAAAATAATTATTAAGATTTAATACAAAACACTTAAAAATATTTCAAGACTAAACATAGTTGCCAGTACGTGGACTGCTACAATATTTACATTAAAAATTCAAATAAGATAGTTTTTACATAATTAATATGTATATAATATAAAAAGGGGTATTTATTTTTTATTTTAATAAAACAAAATATATTTGTAATTAATATTACATATTTATAATTAAGACTTTAAAAAAACATAACTTATAAGTGATTTTAAATCAAAAAAATTAAATAAATAATAATAATAATGTTAATTTAAATTGATCTAAGTAAAAAAAAAATAATTATGTTATGTACAAATTTATTATCTCTATAATTTATAATTTTAATCAAATGGAATAATAAAAATATATACATATTATTAAAACATTAACTACTCAATATTTTTAACATTAATAGATTTTGATGGTTGTGATTCAATTTTAGAATTATTACTTTCATCTGAAGTATCTGTTTGAGTAGTATATGGAGTCACTCGAGTTGGGGCAGCCATACCTTCATCAATAAGTTTCTGTCTTTCTCGTAACATTGAAGCTTTCATATTACTCATTTGATGATAATAACAAAGTTTACACATAGTGCAAACTGTCAAACCAACCCAGCAAGACCATGATGCCCATATTCCAAACTATAAAAATGTGATTATGTAGATATAAAGTTAAAAATATATTTTAAAAAAAGTACATGCTACGCTAAAACAAAGCAAAAACATTTTTATCAATTTCTTGATACAAAATACATACAGATTTACTTTAAAATGATCATAACATTTATATTTCTTAGTTTTTCGATAGTGAAACCAGAAATTTCCTGAGAAAGAAGTCAATAATATACCTATATAAGATTTGTATCTAAATATTGTTTAGTGTTATTTAATTTACATTAAAATTCATACATGTGCAGACCTTGCTGATAGAGGAAGAGGGGCACAATTTTTGTAACAAATACACAATCCATGGAAAATCATTATATTTTTAAAGACAATTCTAAAATATCAGCTATTCAAGATGACAAGGTATAAAATTACTTAATATTTGCAGTTTATGTATATATATTTAAAGAAAAAAATATAGACCACATGGATAAGTTACCCACGCTCCTCTTCTAAGCTCACACCTATATTAACAGTAGAAGGTTAAAAATTTATTTTATTAATGTTATGACCAAAGTCCAGATCTTTATTCGAAAAATATGATACACTTATGTACCAAACATATTAAAATATTCCTCTTGATTCAATTCTTATATTATGAAAATAATATATTAAAACTACTTGCAAATGAATAATGATTACAATGAACAGTAATACTGAAAATTTTTAATTTATCTAATAGTATGTGCTGCTAGTATTTAAGTATAAGATGTTTCTACATTGTTCACTATACAACTAATTTTGGATAATGTCTAAATTTTAGATATTTCAATCCAACATATTGTTTTTTTTAAATGTATTCACCGTTATTATTAGTAACTAGAAATGTTTGTGAAAAGCATAATTATAAAACAAACAATATTAACAAGTTAAAAAGTTTTTTTTAAATTTTGATTAGTTACTTTTGGATTTCTGTTAAGTTTAACTACTAACATTATTGTTTTTTAATTAAAGTAAAAAAGATAAATTCAATTTTTATTTTAAGAAATTAAGTTTAATTTTGTTTTAATACATTTCGATTGATTTTTGTTTTCATGTCAAAAAATATTTCAGGTATACTTGATGTAAATTGTTTTTTTTAATGACAAAAAACTTCAATAAAGTACTAAAAGAAATACTGTATAAACACTATATAGTTTTGAGTAATATACTACAGTAAGCTAATGTTCTTGAAAAAAAATTATGTATTAACTTATGTCACTTATGACAGTTATAACTTTTACTTTTTAACATATTAACTAAAATAAATTTAAAAATAAATCTTGAACTTGCACAGTTTTGATATTTGGTTAACACATTAAATAAGTTACATACTTTCTTAGAAAAATTTGTGAAATATGATTTGTGCTAGCCAAGCAGTTTTTTAGTACTTTATTCAATTTTTAAGGCCCAGTTGATACTTTGTTAAAATATTGATCATACCTAATTTAGCATTGCATATTATATCAGAAGTTAATCAAGCTTCAATATACTGCGGATCTATAGTATTGTGTTAATGTTATCTACATATTGTTATTCACTTAATTAATAACTAAATGAATAATAAGTTCCCAACAAATTGTATTTAAGTACCTGAGCTACTCCAAGTTGAAAGTAAAAACCAGATGTGTCAATTCCATCTAGAATATCAATAGGATTTCCAGCAGCCATTTCACACCTTTAATGAATATATTATTAATGTTCCCTATTTAATACAATAAAAAACTTATGAGCTAAAATTAAAACTAATAACACAATGCTTATTTAACTAAAAATTAAACAAGACTACATCAGAAAACTTTTAAACAAATAATATTGGATATAGATTTACTAATTCACCAACAATAGCCAGATCAAAAATAATTTTTGCCACAGGGGTTTCACAATTTATTATATTTGACTAGCGGCTATCAATATGGTATATTTTATTTTATTTTAATTGTATTATTAATTATTAAGAAGTATTAAACTCCATGGAATACAAGCAAATACACTTATTAAACATAAGCATACTCTTAAAGTATATAAACAGCACAATATATATGTATATTATTTATTTATTTAAACAAAAAACTTTATTCAGCTTTCTTCTACAGTAAATAATATTTACAAAAATATGTAAACAGAATTTATTTTACAAAGAAATTCAATTTCACAGAAAATTATCAAAAATTTCTAGAGATGTAGCTTTCCTTTAAAAAAAAAAAAACTTATAAGTAATTAGTTTAATCATAAATATTTAATATGATTCCAGAGTAGTCATATCAGCTAATAAAATTCAAAATAAAATTCTATATAGTAACGTTAGTGCATCAATTCACCCCAAAACTACCCTACAACTCTAAAGTATTGGTTTTCTAAAAACATAAAGCACAGAATGATAGTTTGACTAAATATAGTTAACTCTAATATGGTAGACATGATTTTGTTTTAAGCTTATTCTATCAAATGACATTATTTGTGAATGGAAATATCAAGTCTAACTATTACATCAGATTACTAATAAATGAAGTGATTTTAACAATTTAGCATGGTTTGAATACATAATACACATAAAATTATCAATAAATAATTCAGTCAATAATTAAACACAACAAATTAATTAAAATATTGAATATCATCAGTTAATGTTCTCCTTGAGAACACCCAATGAAACATGTATTCCTTGAATTATGCCCAAAAAGAGATACAAACTAATTAGAAATATGATTGTACTGATTTATGAATAAGTCGTAAGAGAATATTATATCTAAAACCATGATATCAACAGTATATAATAAATGTTATAAATACTAAACATTATAATATATATGTAAACTTAATTCTTATAAAAATTTACCAGCCACTATAGGAAAAGTTTTCTACAATTATCAAAATTTATGAACATTATAATATATAAAAATCACATAGGTTTGTATAGTAATAGTAAACAAAAAATAACTTACGATGGAAATCTTTCAATCATGTCATTACACCATGTCATAAATCCAAATGTTATCATCAGAGCAGCATTGATTGTAAATATACACATAAGTACACATGTAATGGCATCAATAAATGTCAATAAAAATGAACTGAAAATTTAAAAAAAAAAATATTTTTTTAATATAATTGAAATTGTTATTAGTCTTTAAAAACTTTATTTTTATCAACAAATATGTTCAAATTAAAAAAGCAAAAAGATCAGCTAAATTATAATTTATATTTAATTTCAAAGCGAAAAAACAAATTTATTTAAAGAAGAGTTGATGGTTAACTTTTATTCTACATAAAGATGTATTCAAATAATTAATTTTAAGTAGATAAAATAAATTTTAACTTTTATTATTGTACCTATATCAAAATTAAAAAGAAACAATATCTTGAAAAATGTATAAATTACAAACCTGTCAGTTCCTTTGTAAGCAAAAATTGACATCCTATAGGTCTGTATTGATGATATTACCAATAGCAAAACTCCAACAAATATCGAATAGTTACAATAAGCTTGAGAGGCCCAATTCACTAAAAATTGACCATTCTTCTCAAGCCATTGACCAGAAGAAAACAAAAGACAATGTCCTCTGTAACATTAAAAATTAGTTATGTTGAATAATTAAATAATAAGTACTCAAATATATATTAAATATATTACTTAAATTCATCTTGATGAAGACTCATTGGTATAATTATGCATAGTGATAAAATTGCTGCTATGGTATAACCAGCTACTTGACTTAATAATAACTTATTTGTGAGTGCCATTGGAGAAGGTTAGAAATAAAGTTTATCATTAAATTGAAATTTCATTTCTTATTTTCAATAAGTGAAAAGTTAACACTTAACAAAAAATATTGATGAATAAAGTTGAAATTTTAAAAAACGACTTAATTACTATTAAACAATAGCACAGAACAATAGGTAATAATAGTTAATACTAATAATAAATAAATATAATATGTATTAAATTTATCAATTCTTAATTCCTAATTCCTTTATAATATATCTTATCTATTATTCAATATTTATTTGCATAATCTGTGGTATAATCATATGGGTATAAGGTCTATTATGGGTCTATGTGTATAATCCATTATCATTTTTCAGTGATAAGATTTTTAAATAATAAGGGTCTTTATTTTTTTCTTCCATGTACTTTCTGGAAAGTATTCCAAGCCTACGGTTAACAAATATTTATTGGGGTAACTCGACTTCTACCCTCTACCACAACCACCTATATTTCTAAGTATAAATTATAAATATTATAATATTATAATATTATAACGATTGCTATTCAGTTAGTTGATCAAAAACGACAAAAACATCTAACAATTTGAAGTATTAGAAAAATTCAAAATGATTAAAAATTCAATGATATAGAATCATTAAATAGGTACCAAAAACAAGTCTGAGAAAAACAGTCTATCAGCCTAAATATAGGTAAAATTATTATAGGTAACTATATTTTTTAATATTACTATTATAAAAAACAACCCATTTGTCATGCTGTTTTTCCACGTTAAGTCTTTAGTTAAATAATAATTTGTCTTTGTTGGTGATTTTGATGAATTTTGTCAAAATATGAACTTCATCAAACGTATTTAAAAAAACAAAATCGTACTTATACAGTTATACATCTTTAATAATTTTTAACTTTTAATAAAATAACTGATAGAAACCTTGTATAAAATTTTCGAGCTTTTAGAACCGATAAAATGTATTATCAACATTTATAGAAAAAAACTAAAAATATTGTTAATTGAAAATGTCATTAATAGCTTTAAATTAATCTCAAGTCTAACTCTAAACGGTAAACGCTCAGAAAAAAATATTGTAATGACTAAAGATTTTTGATATTTTTCAACTGAGAAATAATCAACTTAGAAGAAGCTTTGTAAATTTTTTTAAGTATTTCTACCCATTTCTAATCAACTTTTCTAGAAAATAAACTTAAAGAAATCGAAAATTTTTCATGTCCATAAATAGAATAGCTCAGGAATAGATGAAATATTTTATAAATGTTAACGTAAAAAGGAAATGCTTATATATAGTAGAGAATAATATTCTATACAATTTTTGATAAATAACGTTATTTTTATTAAATTTATGTACACCAAAAAACAAAATCAATATTTTGTCCAAAACTGGTTTTAAGTAAAAATTATCATTTTTCTTTAATTTTTTTTTTTTTGTTTGTTTTTTCGAGACATTTTTGAAAATTATTGGAATCTCAAACATTGACCTCTCGATTACACCAACAAGTATTAGATTTACTACTCTCCAGATAAACTGAAATTCAAAATATTATTTATAACTTATTAGTACTTAATGCCTTAATGTGTATATAGATTATAGAATTAGGTATATAAAATAAATACATTCATAACTTCTTTCAGAATCTAAAAACTCGAGTTCGATGAAATACTTTTGTTCATGGGTGGATTTTGGATATTTTGATGGGGGGAGGGCACATATAGATTGTATAATTTGAATTATAATTTATAATTAATAATACATACTATAATTTTAAAATAACATTGGTAATATAGGTAGATACTCGTACTTAATATTATGTTGATTTCATAATATCACACACCAAATCAATAATTTATACCTTATTTATACCTAAATAAGTTATTATACATGTAATCATTTAGAAGAATAAATATGTTTATAAATTCTTATACTTATAGGCTATAGCCTAACAAAGGATAAAGCGAATATTTGTTTGAATTTTAGGGAGGGGATTAAATCTTTTTTTGTATTGTTGCAAAAGAGATACCTATTTAATAGTTTGAAAAATGTTCAATAATTTTAAAGGGCTAAACTTTATAGGTAGAATTAAAGTCTTCGTTGAAGATTTTTAGCAAACATTATGCCTAGTACCTACCTACTTCTTCTGGTTTTACTTGAATATCTTTATTTATATGTAATAATACTAAGCTGTTAAGTCTTTCCTGTCCCGTTTTCGATCGTAGGTAAGTTTTATTACTTTTTTAAAAAACTGAATAACCTTTCAGCATTTGTTGTGGTAGGTATTAGTGGTATTACACTAAGAATTGTGAAGAGACATTTAATGTTAGAATAAACATAGATGCACATTATAAACTTCCATTAAAGAATTAACCTTTTTTTGACTTATTTTTCCAAAATTGTTTCCATAAATTTAACTCTCGCGTAGTAGGTAGGTACTTCAATATTATTTATTTCTAGTATAATTAGTTAAATAGGACTAATATATCATCAGAATTCCTTATGATAAAACATAGAATTCATATAAGAAAATTTTTTTACATAAAAAGAAAATTTTAGGGGTTAGTTGGAAAATATTTAACACGTTAGAGAATTTTTTTTATTTTTGAAGATTTTATTTTCGTAATATCAGTATAATGAACATATTTCAGTATTTCACATATATCGGTATTTTGATAAAAATGATTATTAATAAAATATTCACTATACAAGTTATTTTTATATTTTTCTGGGTTCTAATAAAATTTAATCACCTACAGATATTTCTTATCGATGGCAATGCATATCGATTATTTCGTTAACTGTTATGACTTGTGTAATGTCTATTGTCTATTCAATCGTCCGTAACGGTGCGTATTATTGTATTGATATCATATATTTGGACATTTGGTATTTTAAAAGAATATCAAGAGAATAAATTTCGTATTTTAAACGACATAAAAAGATAATATTTTAAGAATTTTAAAAGAATTCCGACTTCTATAGTTATATAAATAATTATCGATAAGCTGTAACCCCTGTTTTATCAATTTGAATGCAAATAATAATTATAATAGTAGATAGTATTATTCTCATTTACTGATTTTTTTATTTATATAATACTCATAGTTACATAAAAAAATTGTCATTAGAAAAACGACAAGGGGCACGTGCCCCTGTGCTCCTCTTCAATGATCCGCCCTTGCTTTATCTTATAAATTATAATACTTGATGTTAAAAATTTAATATGTAAACTTGAAATCGCACAATATATACAAAGTCATAGCTTGAATAACTTGTTTTAAGTACTATATTAATCAATAATCATGATCATTAATAATTAATCATATTTATAAACAATTATCTAGCTGTCTCTATACAATTTTTATATAGTTATATATTAACCACTTGTACGATTTATATTTTATTCAATTCGTAGTTCAATACTTGGTGCGAGTTTACACGTTCAATCAGAAAATGAACAAACTCTTCAGCTTTAATATATTAGTAAAGATTCTAACTCACTTTTACTACAGAAATCTCAATTTTCTATTTTTTATTCCCATTTTTTTTTAATTCGGCTAAGACAACATGTCGATCTATGAACAATAATTGACAAAAACATCTTCACCAACTTTTTAAAATTTATTTTATCATAACAAATATTGATGACATTATCGGCCCTAACACACACTATTACTTCGTTTACGATTTGGGTTGTTTTTTCTAAGCTTTAAAAAGTTGTAACGTGATATTAAATAACCATAGACCTTAAGGTCTATGTAAATAACCCAAAAATCATAACCTTCCTCAAGAATCAGTAAATTAATTGCAAAAATAATTTTTCAAATCAAATTGGTAGTTCTAGAGATTATAGTGCGTTCAAACAAAAGGCAAACTTCTCGACTTTATTATAATATAGTATAGATTTTGAACTTCAAAGTAATTTCACACCAGAGCAATATTTTCCAAGTAGATGCATATCGTAGCAATTTTTAATAAAAAATAATAAAAGAATAAATATAAATTTTAGAGTAGTTGTTGTAGTGATATTATATGTTTGAAGTAATTAATTTGAGTATTATTAAATTTTTACAGATGATTTTCGAGGTAGTTGCAGCAACCCATATCTATTAACTGTGCCCCATGGCCCATACCATCAGTGGTCATCAGAACTCATTATTCATCATCTTATAAGGAAATTCTCGTTTTTCCTTAATTTTTTATTTGTTTTTCACAATTATTTGAAAAAATTACTGAACGTTTTTAATTTATACTTCTCTAGTATAAAAACTAGATTCAATTAACTTATGCACTTTTTCAAAAATTTGTCAAAATATGTAAAATAGGTATACATTTAATACTTTTTAACTCTTAATATCATAGTATTACTCGGATTTTTAGCTTAATTCTTGATCAACTACAAATCGTAAAAACTCTTATAACTACTGAAACCTAGACCTTAGTGACTGAGTGTTTATAATGGACTACTGTTTAGTGTTTAGCCTTTATCATCACCAGTTGTAAGCTTTCCAAATTTCTACAAACATTTTGCGGAGTATCCAATAACAGTAGGTACCTTTTCATTTCACTTAACAGTTACCAAAACTTAAAATACTTATAATTTATAAACTACTAGTCTCTATTTAAATTTTTATGTACTAAAATATTCTGCAAAAGAATACGAAATTAACAATGTATAATGTCTTATTATGCAATTCAGAAAAGTTAAAAATTACATATTTCATTACAATTAAGATTTTAGTGCTAAAATAATTCACACGATTCTTCCATGATGAAAATATTACAAGCTCTTTGGTGATTGGTTGTACATGTCGTTCGGTACTCGGTAGTTCAACCATTTTCTTTTGTATTCTTGTCCATGACCCATGTCAGACGAATGTTGAAACTAGAACTTATAGTTTTCTTAATCTCAAATACTACATTACATAGTACATTGTAAATACTATACATAATAGTCCAATATTCTAATATTCACAGTTTACACTGGTTACTCATTTTCAATACTCATTTTATAAATATTGGATTATCAGCATTCACCCAATCGTACTAAATTTGCAGCGTTTGATCACCATCACTCGTTTTCACCTATATATTTTTAATTCTCATTAACTCTGTTCTCCGTTTTTATACTGTAGTTAATATTCTGTTAAATTAATTATCTTAAATTTTTTTGTTAATTTTTCATTTGAGTGTTTATAGTTATACCTAACCTTATATTAATTTATATATCGTTTCAACTATAATTCAAAGGCGCATTTCAATTCGTTCAATTATTGCCAAATAATTGAGTTGTGTAGGTAATAGTTATTACATTATTTTTCAATAGATTCAAACTAATCATGATGAATGGAAGTATTGGCTTGGTAAGTACAGTTTTTTTAAATATGAATTAATAATGTTTATTTATATTATTTCATAATATAAGTGTTTTTATTTTGAATATAGCTAATAATTTACAACCATCTGCTTTATTACGAAATATTAAATATAATTATGTAAAAGAAAAAAAAAATATTTGTATCTTTATAAATTATCACAATTTCTTAGTTTCTATTGTTTTTGTAAATTGCTATTAGATTTCAACTAAATTTGAATTTTCTCTCTTAAAACAGTTTTTTTTATTTAAGGAAATGTTCCTTTTCTGTGTGAATTAATCGCAAATCTCAGTTAGTTAAATTTTCTCAGCTGTTGTTTTAGGTAAATTTGTTTCTGGGAATTACCTACATTTTTTCCTAAGTGATAAAATTGCTGTTTATTAAATTATCAATTATATATTAATATTTTAAATAACTACTATTAAACATACATATTCAAGGATTTGTAACTGGTTATTATACAAACATTGATACCATTATATTTCTTAAAATTAAGTTTTATTATCCTAGATTTATTTATTAATTTTCAACATCATAAGATTTACCTTTAAAAACCTTAAGTTAATTAATCAAAGTTAATATATATCCCAGCAATTATATATACATTTGTTTATAACACACAATTGTATTTATAAGTAATAAACTTTTTGTGCCTTTGATAAACTTTGATAATCTAATGTAAAAATGTATTAATATAATAATATTAACCGTGCAATTTAATTCATAGGTAGATATGTTTAAACTATGATATATTTACTTAAATGGCTACAAACAAAAAATAAAATATATGAATGAAGACATTTTATTGTGAAGGTTTAGTAGAAAAGTACCATTTTGGGTATATAAAATTTAATACTCTTTAAGGATAATTGTAAATTATTAATTGTTTAATAAACATATATTTTTATTAGTTGTTACTTATAATATTTTATTTATAATTCTGATACACAATTGCTAAAAAAAAAGTTGTATGGATACAATCGATTATGAACCACTAAATCATGTGTTAGGTACCATTATGTCACTATTGATGCATTAAATGTTTAGTTTATATATATATAACTCATATTTAATCTAGTATAATAATATAATGCGACTAATAACTATTCACCACTTAAATAATAAAAAATATACGTTTTTATTTATTTATATTAATTAAATATATTTATTTATTTAGCAACAACAACCATTTATTAACACACTATCAACGGCTAATTCCAACAACTACCAACCTGCATCCGTCTCAGCACCTACCATGTCAAATGGTACAGAAGAGGAACCAGAAGCTAAAATACCAAAACTTGAAGGTATGGTATTTTTAGTTATTTTTAAAAAAATTCTTTTTATTTTATTTTAAATTAAAGGTACTGAAATCCCTTTTTATAGACAAGTGTTTATGTCTTTGTATTTATATTTTTGGGTTAATATTGATGCATAGGTATATTTAATAACTTCAATAATTTTTTTAGGTTTGAATATAATTTTTATATCCATTTATTAAAAACTGTTATGAATCAATTAGTTAATCTTGACAATAAAATCTTTAATACCATTGTTAAAATTAAAGAATAAGTTATAGGTCATTTAATAATTTGTATTTGTATATAACTTAATTCAGAAAAATTTAATATTCTTTAACTTAAGATAATAACTTGGCATATAGATTTTTATAAACCAACTGTTAAGAGAAACTTAACATTTGCATTTTTTATATATTTATTATATACATGTTATTCTTTCTATTACATATTTAAATATCTGATGACCGTTTTTTAGTTAATGTTCATTCTCAGTAAATATAATTATCTATTCTATTATAAAGATTAAATATTACATGTTTAAAAAAATAAAAAAATAAAATATACTCTAATTAATATAATTTTTATTAGTTAAAACTAATCAATATTCTTTTTTTTTTGAGATGTTCCAGGCGGTTTACTGATAGCACTAGTCTATACGCTTCTCACACATCAAAAGATTAAATTACCTAGTTTGTAGGGAAGGGTGTGTACAATACTTAAAATCATTTATTCTCATGTAATTATTTTTTTATCTATATTTTACTAACCTTAATTCATCAAAATGTTCCATTTTATTAACAAACAGAAATAGATAGTTAATTGTGATTCAATTACGTTTGGTATGCTAATGTTTGCAGAATTAATCATTATTTTATGATGTATTTGTTTTTAAACATTTTTTTGCTTAAATTATTTTCCTCGTCAAAAAAAAATAAATATAATATATAGTATTTAAACATTTTTCACATTAGGTTATGATTCGATTATACTTAAATATTTATGAAATTTATATATTTTATATATGTTAAACTCATTAATAATTTTTTTTTATTTTGTGTTTTTTATTTATTTATCAGAAAATCACATCATTAATATACATAAAAAATATTAATTGACAGTGAAAAATTCATCAATATTTTCAAAATAATTGGCAACTTTTTTATTCAATGACAACTTCAATTTTAAATAATGTTTTAGTAACTAAAAGGTTTAAAATAATGTTATATCATGGTTGCTAAATTCTTTTTTTTAATGATTTAATGGAAGTAGGTAAATTTTTCTAGAATCATATTATTTATCCAAAATGTTGTGTTTGTTTTGGATCAATTGATTTCAGTTTTGGAGTTAACTTTCAAATTGGTCCATTGGGTAGGCCTGTGGTTGTTTAAAAACGTTGTAAGTATAATTGACGACTAAATTAGGAGAATTTAAACATTTATCTACTTTATATTTTATTTTGGTTTGTTTTTGTTTTCGTCATGCTCTTCTGTGTTGTCTCCGGACCAATATCCCTCTACTAGCAAGTGCAGCCACCTGAGCAAGTCAGGCCTACTACCCGCTGCGGTTAAGGTCTCTAATGGAAACACAATATGTTTGCTCATACCTTAATGGTGTTATTTGATACATATTTAAACATTCAGCAAATAACATTCAAATTTTTTATATTTACATTAAAAAAATCAAAAAATTTCCTGTATTTGTTTATTTTATTTTCTTATTTACTAAGTTTATAACATATTTTTTTGCTGTTTGTTTATTAAAATTATAGTTTTTGCAACTTTTTTTAGATAGTTTTAAAGAAAGACATATTTATAAAATTGATTTTATTAATTTTTTTAATGAATAGTATTTTATAAAGTTTAATTTCTAGAATAATATATATTTAAAAATGTTCTTATTTTTATTTATGTCAATACTTAAAATATCTTAGTTGCATAAATTATTTGATATTTATAAAATAAATAATATTCTTTTTCAGGCAATATTTATTTATTTCTTGATTATTCTCATACAACAAATTATTTTGACGTTTAATGTTTTTATCCTCTTGTGTTAAATTATTTTATTAACATATTTCTTTTTCCTTTCAGTGAATGGAACTGCATCATTCACTACAGCACCGTATGATTTCAACCAAGTTGGCACTTTAATCTCAGGTATTTAATTATTTACTTATAATAATTTAATTTAAATAATATATTAAGGTATGTGCTATTATAAATGGTTTAACTATTTAATCAATTTAATGTAAGTTGTGTATTTTACTATAAATAAATATTATATATCTTTAAAAGTTAAAAAAAAAACCGTTAAATATTTTTTTTTTGTTATTTTTATACTCAGAAAAATATTTTATTTCTTTTTAGTAGGTATTAGTATAACATTAGTTTTCTTTCATACTACTGTTAAAAAACTGTTCTTCATATTTTTATTTTAGTTCGGGTACTATAGATTATTGAATTATTGAATTATAAAATTACATGAGTGAATATTGTTTGTCTGTAATATCTTAAATGAATAAATGATTTATTTATAGGTCCTGGTTCAAGACTTGGTATTTTAGGTGCTCTTGCTGCTCCTTTAATCAAATTAAGTACGGAACAAAATGAAGCTGTGGCTAAAGCTAAAAAATATGCTATGGAACAAAGTATTAAAATGGTATTAATGAAACAAACATTAGCCCACCAACAACAACAAGCTAAGTCATTCCATCGTCACCAAGCTTTAATACTGATGTGCAGGTCAGTTAAATATACACTTTTTTGTGAAGTTTTTTAATTTAATAATTAAACAATATGATGGAAAATAATATTCATTATTGAGAGCGGTTGAGACTAATATTTGTTAACATTTATTGTGTTTCCCTTATTAGTGATTAATTTGCTGATAAGATCTGATTGTTTAATAATTATTTTTAAAATACATAAAAATTATAGTTAAACTAATATTATATGCAAGTATTTCTTTTGTTTAGAGTATATGTTGGAAGTATTAGTTTTGAACTTAAAGAAGACTCAATTAAACAAGCATTTTCACCATTTGGTTGTATTAAATCAATTAACATGTCTTGGGATCCTATCACTCAAAAGCACAAAGGTTTTGCATTTGTTGAATATGAAATACCAGAAGCTGCTCAGCTTGCACTTGAACAAATGAATGGAGTAATGCTTGGTGGTCGAAATATTAAAGTTGTAAGTATTATACATACTTCTTATAATCTTATAAACCTATTAATAATTAGTTGATCTAGTCAAGAAAAAATGTTACTAGTTTTGTTGTAAAACTTTGTTATTATATTCATAGATCTGTCTTTGATTTAGGTTGGGCGTCCCAGCAATATGCCACAAGCACAATCTGTCATTGACGAAATACAAGAAGAAGCTAAACAATATAACCGTATTTATGTAGCATCAATACATCCTGACTTAACTGAAGATGATATAAAAAGTGTATTTGAAGCATTTGGTCCCATAAGAACATGTAAGCTCGCACAAGGTAGTACACCGAATAGACATCGTGGCTATGGTTTCATTGAGTATGAAGGTCGTCAAGCGGCTATTGAAGCAATATCTTCAATGAACCTTTTTGATCTTGGAGGCCAGTATTTACGAGTTGGACGTGCTATTACTCCTCCAAATGCTCTTCATGTATGTATAAAATATTTATAAATTAGTTATATGTATTTTATTATACAGTTTTTTGTTCAGGGTCCTTCATCTTCAAGTCATATGCCTACAGCTGCTGCTGTTGCAGCTGCAGCAGCTACTGCAAAAATTCAAGCAATGGATGCAGTTGCTACAAATGCAGTTTTAGGTTTAAGTAAATTAAGTTCTCAATTAGGTGCTCAAACTGCTGTTTTACCTGGTTTACAACAGTTACCTACTACGTTAGGTATAACTCCTGCTGTTCCAGCTGTTACTATACCACCACCAGGAATAGCTATACCACAACAAATTAGAGCTACAGTACCAATAATACCAGGTAATTATTTTATTTTTCCTGTGCTCAATAAATATTTAATTTTTTATAAATTTATAATAAATTAGAAATATTTATTTTATATTGTTATTGTTTTTAGGAACCACAGGATTGAGTCCAGTTATTCAACAAGCTATACCTCCACCAACACTTATAAATCCTACACAATTAGCAGCCCCTGTGATACCAACAGTTACAGCAGATGCACAAAAACGAGTTGATCAACAAAAAAAACAAGAAGAATTACAAAAAAAATTATTGGAAGAAACTGAACCTCAAACATTGCAGCAACAAGAAAATATGTCTATTAAAGGTCAAAGTGCTAGACATCTTGTTATGCAAAAATTAATGCGGAAAACTGAGGTAAATATTAGAACATACAACCTATAGTCTGTTCCATATAAGATGACTTGCATTCACTTACGGTGGACATGGCTTACGAGCCGCAAACCAAACACATCGGTTAGGAAGCACGACGCAACAACTGATTTCACAATGGGGGCGGTAGCAAGCGATCTACTCCGATTCAAACCAAATGTAATTTGGCCGTTGCACGCAAGTAATCTTATTTGGAACAGAGTATAGTCTCACGTCTAATTTATGATTATGAAAATTAATTAAATTTGAGACCATAACGATAAATTGAATATTAAGAATTACTGATTAAATGGGTAATTGACTATAAATATAATCAATAAAAACTAAGATATTTTTTAATTGAGTGTACAAAAAAATTTTACTTTGATGCTAATGCATAAGATCCAGACAGTGTGTTTTATCAAACTAACTTAACCATATTAAATATCTCAAATTACTAAGATGTTTTTTATTACTTAATACTTAAATTTTGTAATATATTTACCTATTAGTTCTTGTTTGAATAGTTTAATATTTATACCATTTTAGTTTAAAATACTAAAACTTAACATGAAAATCTAATTAAATTTCTCTTAATATATTGCAATAAAAAAAGAATTATGTTAAGAAATGTATAATTAATTTTAAAATATTTATATATTATTATAGAGTAGAGTTGTTATACTTAGAAACATGGTTGGTGTTGAAGATGTGGATGACAGTTTACAAGAAGAAATTCAAGATGAATGTAGCAAGTAATTAACTTATATTTATAATAATTGTTTATTTTTTTTCTTTTTAGTTTACGACAGGTTGATTTGATAACATCTATTATTTTAAAGTTTTAACTATTAAGAATGTTATATACTAGGGAAGTTATATTATGTAGTTGTTTCCAGTTGCCTTCCGAGTATGAGAGATGGCAATCTATTTCTCTGAATAGCCTGTCTAGACAGAAAAGCCTCCAGTGACAGTGTTTGAACCAGTAACGATGCACATTAACATTGCTGTCTTATTCTACTCAGCCACTCAGTCCCACTTATTATTAATAATAAATTTAATTTAAATTGTGTATTAATATATTATTTTATATAGATTTGGTGTTGTTGAACGTGTTATTATTTATAAAGAAAAACAATCAGATAGTGTTGATGATGATTCAGATACAATTGTAAAAATATTTGTAGAGTTCACACAAATGTCAGGTAATTATGAGAATAAATTATGTTTTATAAGAAGTAGTAATATTAATTGACCATTTATCATTTTTCAGAGGCTGAACAAGCCAGAGATTCCCTAAATGGTAGATTCTTTGGTGGTCGTTTAGTTAAAGCTGAACTTTATGATCAAGCCTTATTTGACCATAGTGACTTTTCCGGTTGATGAATCAATTGAAATATCTATTATTATAATTATTTATATATTATTTTACTTCATTATTTAGTTATTTTAATATTAACATAAAAATATATTATATAACTAATTATTTTATTGTATGTAATTATATTTTGTAAATAAAATTTTTTTTGCAATTTTTATTAACTTAATTTTAAAAACGAATGCAACTTGGTTATAATTATTGGTATATTATTCTGATAACTGTAAAATTATAAATTTCATAGAATTATTTAACAAAATGGTAAAACCCTCATGTATTTACTATATATACATTATTTATTAAAATTAAAATGTTGATTATATTAATCATGTATATTTGCATAAATTATGAATACCTATTATATTGTATTGCACTTATTTATTTTAATGTCAAATGACATTAAAAGTAAGTAAATTCACTGAAAGGCAAAGAATGTTTATCATTTTTATAATTGGCTAAATGGCTAATTAAAACTATTAGTTTGTTTAAAATTCATAAGTTGGAACAATTTGCACAAATGAGAACTCTTCTCTAAGATTTGCATTCACATCATTATTGACGTTAGTTACTCTTCTCTTGAAATAAAAGACTATTTATGTACATCTTAGTTCTAAATATAGTAAAAACTATGCAATTTATACAAATTAATCTTTGCACAATAATAAAAATAATATATTTATACCCAAGAATAACTATTATTTTCTATTAAACATAATATTACATAAATATTGTATTTTACTAAACTTCAACAAGTATTTTCAAAACTTATTAATAAATAACTTATTATTATTTTTGAAATATATTTTACAAAAGATTGTTGTTGATGAAGTAAATTTATTTTACTTTGCTTTTTAAATTTCCAGGTTGTCTTTCAAATTCTTCAGACATATCAGGAAATCCTTTACTATTTTGTGGATATTTTGTCTCATTATCTGTAGAACCAGGAAGACTAAATTTTTTAGCAATATCCTCAGCATTAGTTTTCTTCATATTTGCAATGGCTTCATTATGAGCAATTTCCTCGACAGTTGGTGGTTCATCGCGTCGCCCTCTTAACCACTGTGACCATTCCGGTGTTGGAACACCAGTTTCTTCATCAACGGGTACAAACCATCTTTTTGGAAATCGACGACCACCTTGAGGATCAGCTTGTAGCTCAAAATATTTATTACCTTGTGCATCAGACCCAACTGGTTTTTCTTTCAATTTAGGTTGAAGAGATTTTAAAAAATTATCAAATACTATTTTCCATAAACGGCGTTCAGAAGGCATATTAAATTTGTTAGTTATATAAATCTGTTAAATTTGAATTAAATCGATGAATAGTTAATATAAAATTATAAAAACAATAATTTTTATCTTAGATACAGCATTCACCTGGAAAAAAAAAATCACAACACCTACAGTCAATGCAATTTTTGTAAATTGATGTTCTTATCACAATGTATAATATTTTAAAATTATGTTTCTATGATAAATTAAATATATAATTCGGCATTTAATTAAATTAAATTTACTATTATTAAGTCAGATTCAAAATCTTAGAATATGATATTTCAATAGATATTTATCGATGTCAACAGTTTTAGTAATTTGAGAAACTTCATTAAATTTAACAGTATTATAATAACTATTTTACATAATTTAGAGATACATATGTACATACATTATACAATGTTATAAATTTACCAGTAAAATTAAAACGGATACTAATTACTAATTAGTAAATTTACGATAGATTAGTTTATCGTGTTAAGTCTACAAGTCATCGAGTTCTTTAACTTATATTACTATCTTTTTATTTTAAATATTGATAGTTGATACTTATTACTTATTAGTTAGGTATTACCACAGAATATGAAAATACTTTACTTATATTACTTACATGTATTACTTACATTTTACATTATTATTTATTTCCCCTATCAAAGATCTATATTGTGATAATTTAAAATTTTATTTAAGACCACGATAAGGGCTTATCATTTAAATAATTTACTCCCTTAGATCTAAGTTTACTCCTATATCAGATTTGTAAACATAACCACTTTATTGCTTTAAATATAATTTCATTAGAACACCTTAATTCGTTATTAAATTTGTGAATTTGGGATGATAAGGTCTATTTACCGAATAAGATAGTACCAATTTGCGAATTTGATATTATACTTAATCTTTACGTCTCTACGCATGCGTACTATCAGTACTTTCACATTGGTGAGTGGTGACTGGTGACCATTCCTGTGTTTACTGTTTAGTGTTTACTGTTTAGGGTTAACTGTTCAGACGCTCCTAAATTTAAAAAATTTTTATTTGGTTTGTAATGTTTGTATTTTATCTTGCAATTTATATCGTTTATGACATTAAATAAAGATTAACAATGTATTTTTTTATACCTCTGAAGGTGCATAGATGTCTAATCTCTATCTATAGATTAATACTCCATAGCCCATGAGTACTATGGAATCTACGGTTATCTATCTTATGGGGATAAATTATTTTATTTTCAATTCTGCCGCAGAGCGATAATTATTCATTATTTTATAATCTATATATTTAGTACAGTTTTTCCGTGGGTTAAAAAAATTATAATTTTTAACGAGTACCTATCAACTTTTCAAAAATTTTAGATACGATCAAATATTTTTACTGTACAATACTTGAAAAATGGGAAAGTGATCTATGATTAATGTTACACACTACTAATACACTGCTGTTTGTGAAAATTGAGAAAATTTAAACTAATTGAATAGTACATGCATGGTAAGAAGTATGTGATTATAATGATTATATAATATGAAATTATTATCACATGTCATATCATCTTCTTGCAAACAATTTTAATTTATAACTAATGAGCTATGAATGCTATGATGCATTAAATGCATCATTAAATTATTATTAAATAATAGTTTATAAATTCAAATTCAATATGCTTTTTACTGTACAAATTAAAAACTAATGTGGAGCATTAGACTAAAGCATGAATTAATTGCCTAATGCCTAATATTAATTAAATTAAAAAAAAAAAAACAGATAAATATAGGTTATAGGACTATGTTATTGAGTGAAATAATAATACCTCTTATTTAAAAATTAAAATTCACAATCATCTTAAGTATTATAAATACCAACGGATACTTCTAAAAAAAATCTAGTTTACTCCTGACCTGTACTCGGGTAATATTAAAATAAAGGTATATAAATTAATAATAAATCAATTAAACCAAAAAAAATAATTATTAAATTAATTGAAAATATTCACAGGCAGAACTAGCTTTATTTATGAATATAGATACTTTAGAAGATTATGAATATTTATTTTAGATTATAATTTATAAATCGATTATTTATACTTTTTATTATTTTTATTGTTTTCTATTGTCAACTATACTTTTGATATTATGTAGAACAATAATAATGCAAAAATTTATAATTGTAATATATTTTATTTTTTTCGTATATGGTTGTTATTCAAGGGGTCAAAGTTAAATAAATTAAATTTCTATTTCTTAAGGATTAAGGTCTAAGGAATTTTTTTTACAAAATTGATTTGGTCATTTTGTTATATAGTTTAAAACAAGTAATCTTCTATACTATATAGATACTTGAACATTTAGTAGAAGATTTATCATAAAGTAGATTTAAAGAGAAATTGAACCTAAATATTATTATGGAATAATCTTAAGTTATTTAACCTAACAATAATATTTAATTTGATGAATTATAAAAATATTTTAAAACCAGTTAGGTTCAAATTTGTTGATTGCCATTTGATTTACTTTGTACATTGACAGATATATTATGGTAAAACCAATTGAGTTTCAAAATTCAAGATTATAAAAATCAATATGAGCTCTGGTACCAAATGCTACATTTATATATGCCTTCTATTTGAACTAAGAAATATACTTAATGGGTAATAATCTACCTCTGGCAACGACAATCTTTTCACCTCACCAAGTCTATATTATGAGTAAAACTTGAATATAACATGGAATTGATAATGCAACCAAGTTATGATGACAAAATTAGTATATTACAAGAAACTAGTTGGGTGGTAAATCTTCTTACTTAACCTTAATTATTATATTATAGATACTTATATGCTTTTTATTTTGAACAATTAGTAACAAAAAATCTTTATTTAAACAAAAATTATTTAATTTTATTTAAAATGTATGATAATGGCAGTTCATATAAAAAAAAAACTAATCATATTTTTAAATATATATAGAAACTGTAAAGTAAAATTAAATTTATTTTGTTAATTTGGTTGTGTTTTTTTTTAAATTCATTCTTTCATCTCTGCATCTGGTTCTTCATTTTCATCATCAACTGATCGGATGTAAAGAACATTATTACACCTAGAATAAAAAACATAAACTTAAAAAATATTTTAAGGTAAATTATAAATACTAATAAATTTAAATTAATATATTGTAAGCATAAGATAGAACAATTAATATTGTATTGAGTTTAAAAAGATATAATAATATATTAAGAATGACTTACCTAATCATTATTTCGCCTAATAGAGCAGGTTCACTACCTTCTACAAATTCTGTAGCACTAGCTAATTGTATGTTCATATAATTGTCAGTGGACACCAAAAAGCCTTTATATTCATGACCCCATTTAAGCTTAACAATTATAGTTTTACCCATAAGACCATTAAGGTATGGTTTTGGATTAACTGGCATAGTAGCCATGATGATGTATGTATTGATGCAAGTTCTGTAAAAATGTAAGCAATATTAAATTATTAAAATTATAATACAATACAAATTTTATACATTTTTATAAAAATATGCAAACACAGACTGGTATATTAATATGTTAATATTAAGTCAATGTTTCCAAGGAACCTACAGTAATGATTATTAATAAGAACATTAATTCTTATTACAATCTTAAATAATTAATTATTACATACTTGAAAACAAAAATATGAACACTTAAAGTTCCAAGATATCTTGTGACTTGAGTAATGCGAGTATATAATAATTAAATATGAGAAAATAAATGCTTGAAATGTTTAAATACTAATTACTAAATACTGGATGTTTGATGTAACTATTGAAAAACCATAAGCGTAAAAGTAAACAAAATAGAGACATTGGCCAATTGAATAGCCGCTGAATAGTTGATATTACTATCAAATATCAAGTTCTCCAAGAAGTTAAATTAACCATGGTAATGGTATAATGCAGAACACTTTACTATCATACTCGCCACCATTTTTTTATTTTACAATGAAATTATTCAAATTTTGACTTTTTCTACTATTTGTTTTGTGACTATAAAAATTTATTTTTAAGTGTGAACAACCCTATTTTCTGTAAATTTTTATTGGTAGACAGAGTTAATTAGTTAAAAAACTACTTATTTTAAAGTTGAATAAGTAATAAATACAATATAACTGGAAATACACCACCAGTCACCACAATAATAAATAATTTCTGACCGTGGTTGTGGTGTACAAATGTACTAAACCAATAACCATTAACCATATATAACCTATTCTTTTTAATCGAGTATATAGATGATATAATCTAGGAGGACTTTGAGTAAATATAATGTTTTGATAGTTAGTTAATAATTTGATATAATATGTAATAAATATTATAGTTTATGAATAATTATAATCGAATAAGAGTAATAACTAATAAGACAAATCTTTTATTTTGTTTCATTTGACTCATTTGAGTGACCAGTATTCAAACTTCAAACCGGGGCACCTGAGTTTTAATTGATTTACATTCATTTGTTCTTATTTCTGCCTACTTATCTGTAGACTGTAGAGTTTTAAGACTTCTCACCATTATAAGATAAAATAATTTATCAAATATAATTTTAAGAACTGTGATTTGTATAAATGCAATTTTATATTAGTGTATTACATTTATTTTTTCCAAAATTTAATGAATGAGAATATGAGATTATTATACTTTTCCAAAAGCATTTAATAACTACTAGAATCAAATATCAATATTTTTGTATTTATTTGTAAAATTGCATGTAAAAATATTCTCTAATAGTGAATAATTATTTTATAGTGCAGAATTAAATGATTTTATATAGTAGGAACTATATTATTTCAAACTAATCTTCATAATCTAAGTACTTGAATTGAAAGAATTCATTCATAACACAAAAGTTAAATATGTGGGTGTCGACTAAAAAAACTTTTAATAATACTCTAATGCTTTTTCGATTCTGTCGAGAAAATGATTTTTGTATTTTTAATTTTACTAACATGAAACAATTATACTCAAAAGTCATACATGAATCTTTATTTGCTTCAATATATTCGGTGAGTCACTATGATAATTAAATAACCTTAATAATTATTGTAATATATTTCAATCATACTTACAAATGTACATTATAAAGAATTGCAACAACAAAAATGGATATTTTAAATTATTTTCAATATGAATCAAAATTTAATTTTGTATTGTATAAAAACTATTTTACTAAGTTTTATAGTGTTTTATTTTTATTTTATTTGGCTAGTCGACCAACAAAATTGAAGTTGATGTTAAAAATGTTATTAAATTTTTGGAAAATATTAAAGAGATGAATAATGTAAATTATAATTTTTACCAAGACAAATTGAGTATTAAAGCAGATTTAATAATAACTCTATCTGAAGGATTCCCTCCATTTAAATTGGAGTTGGAATTGGAATTAGAAGATGAAAATATTGTAAGTATTAATTATATTTTTATAACTTCAGTTCGTGTTAGGACTATTTTTACTGTGAATTATTTATGATTACAATATTAAGATATTATGTAATACCTATATATTCTTTTCTTAAAAATCTGTTGTTTTGTTGTATAACTAGTAGTGGTAGTTTATCAGCAAATAGCAATACACTATGAAAGTTTAGAACTAAAATGTCATGCCTATAAAACTTGGTAAAAAATGCATATTGACAGGTAATTAAATTCACACACTTCATTTAATATTTATGAAGTCTAAGTCTAAATAACTATTTTAGCCATTTTTTATTAAAATTTGTATGAAAATCTGGATTAATAAAATATATATGTATACCCTACAATTTAAAAAACATATTTTTCATTTAACCATTTCTTAGTACTCTATTACACTATATTATGAATGTTATATAAGACATTTACATTACATTTTTTGAATAGAGCATATTAAAAAAAAATACTCATCATTAATTTCTTATAACTGCTTTGATGCTCATATTTTCCTATTTATTTTAAATGGTTATTACATTTTTAATGTAAGAGTATTTATATAATTTTTTGTACATAGTTTTATTCCAAAATGACTTGCCCATTATTGGAAATAATAAAACAATTAAAACAAAATCAAGAAGATTTATTTGATATAATAAAAAAAAAGGATTTGGAAATTTCAGAATACAAATTAATAGGAGGCAACATTTCTCATGGTTTGTATATTTTATAGCTGTAATAGGTTTTGTACTAAAATGTCTATATTATTGTTTTGTCTGTGAATAGAAAATAATAAGACAGATATTTTTGAGAAAGATAATTTTTTTATGAAGTCATTGCAGAATCATAAAGACTTATGTAACAAAATCCCATATTTGTATGAAATATATTCATCTATAATTGAACAGTATGATATAAGGTAAAAATAAGTTATAATAGTTATAAATTATAATATTAATTAGACCAGTAATATCATATTCTTTTAAAGACATCCTGATGATTATGAAAAATCAAATACTACACCAACTAAAGAGGAAAATCAAGAAATTCAAATAAATACTAAAACAAATAATAGTATAGACCATAAAGCTACAAAAAGTTCAACTACAATGGAAATTACTCATACATCAATTAATATTAAAAAGCGGAAAAAATCTTCATTGTTAAAAAGTCTTTAAATCTATTATTATTCTGTAATAATATACACAATATTATATTTTTTTACTTAAATCATTTATTGACAACAAAATAGAATATTTAATCAATGGTTAGTTCAACCATTATTACACATTTTATAAATTTTATATGTACAAAATGCATATTATCTAAAAAATATAATTCTTTTAAGAACCAGTCTCAATGTATTTATTCTGTAGTATCAAATGATTAATAATTTATTTATAATTTAACTTGTACTAGTTTTAAACTTGAATTGTAAATTAATACCAAAATGTTGTATCAATGGTACTACATTTCTAAACCATTGATTATTTTTAATAATATAGAGTAAAAATTTTAATTTGTAAGACAATTTTTAGATTGTTATTTATAGTTATCCAACATGTCTCAAAATTATATTAAGTATAAGAAAATGGTAACTAGTTTCCTGTTCGGCTCAATAATTATATTTTATTAATTAAAAACATATAATAATTGTATAAACACTAAAAATAGAAAAAGCTGACTAAGGAATATTTTTGAAAACAAATTTGAAAAGCTTTCAAATAATCACTGGTTAATTAGTACTGAAATTAATGTTAGTTAAAACCTCAATCAAAAAAAAAAACTATATATATATATATATATATTATATTGTTAATAAATTTACATTTGATACCAACAGAATTTACATTTTTTTCATATAGCAGAACCCCTAAACAACCCAATTTCCAAGTAAAATATTTATACACACATACATTGTACCTATAATAATAATAATAAAATAAAAACTATATTGATAAATATGCTCAAAAAAAAAATTAATAAAAACCAAATTAAATTCAATGTAAAAAATTAAAAATTAATACATTAGTATTTCATTTTTAGAATTATAATTTTCTTTATATGTTTTATTGAAAATATATCTTAAATAAAAATAAAATACAGTTATATATATATGTATATAAACAAAAATTTTGTTTTATAATTGGTTTTCATTTATCATATTGTGTAAATTAAAAGTTTATGAATCAATACATAATTATAAAAAAGTATATAACAATTACATTTAAAACAAAACAATATACCAAAATTAATTGAAATAAAAAATATGTTGGCGTGTGTTTTGGTATATATAATTTAATAATTCGTAAAAACGAACCAATAAGGAACTAACTTAATTAATCATATGATTAACATAAATATCTAAGTAAGTATATGTTGGATAATTTTAAGCAACATTTTATAAATATAGCAATAAGAAATAAAATTGGAACCTATGTGTAAACTCAACGTTAGTAACATCCAAATTTTGGACGTTCTTAATAAAAAAACCTTATTCAAAAGCTTACTTAAATCACAGATAGAAATCCATATTTTATCGACTGCCACCTAAATCAGTATTACAATTCACAAAATGTTGACATAATTTATTTAATATCTACTCTATTATTTAAACCTAAAATAAATATTAAACAAAAAAATAAAATGGTGATTTAATGTACGACTAGTTTTTGTTCTTATGGATCAAGTCATTTAATTTATGTCATGACATGTATAAGCAATCTCATTTTGTGTTGTTATAAAACCAATATGTATTAAACAAGAATAATATCAACTTGTGCTATTCAACTTTTAATCGTTTACTGAATTCTTCCTGTTGTCTTTCTTTCCATTCTTTTTTTGGTTTGTAACGTTTCAGTTGACCATCCCTATAAACATTTTATTTAGATAATTAATTTCAGACATTCATACAATAATTTATTTTATAACACTATATTAGTCGATTATAATTAATATCTTAGCACAAGCTATAAAGTGTCCAGATTTTTAAAAGTAAACTCTCAATAATCCATAATCCAGTATATTCTGTATTTTATCTATATTATATTTTTTATTATTTTTGTTTAAACAGCTGCAAGAAAAAGTCTAAAAAATATAATTTTAAACAAAAAAAAGTACTATTATTTTTTTAGATCTGCCCCATCAAAAGATTAATTCGATACAGCAATAAATTAATATGTATGTATGGTTGATATGTTTAAATAAAATAAATTAAGGGTTTTCAATACTAAAAATATGTTTTTACGTGAACCACCATTAATTTGTAAATCATCTAGTCTGATATCTGCCAGATTACCAAAAGTTTATTATATGGTCAATTAAGAAACATTGAACTTTTATTAAAATGTTCGTAAAAAACTAACTCCAACTGAATATGAAAAAACTTTAACAAAATAATAAAAAAAATTTTTAACTTAATATTTAAAACAATTAATAAATATTCCATATTAATATTTGAATGTTTAAGATACAATTAAAGAATTACTATATTTTCATTGTATATATAAATGAAGTTAGAACCATTTTTTTTTTAACTAACTATTACCAAAATTTATAATTAAGATTCTTATCCTGAGCACTTCTAATTTTAATGATTACTTTATGTATCTAGAGCAGAAGTTCTTAAACTATGGGTCCCAATTATATTTCTAGTGGGCCACGTTATATATTTTTTTTAAATTTTTGATACATTTTTTTAAACATGTATTACTTGTTTCAAATAACTAAAAAAAAAAGTTCATTGATATTACTACAAGTTTCTAAATTTAAATAATTTCTAAAATGGGTTGAGCCATAAAAAGTTTGGGAACTTCTGATCTAGAGTCTAATAAATTCATATATTTTGAAAACTGAATCATTATAGATACTTTAGAATTGTCTTACCATACTAGATCAACAAGACCACCTTGATCAGCTATTACTCGTTTTACTCGATTAGCAAAATCGGCACCTGATTCATTTTCATTTTGGTACATTGGAGGCAAGTACCATACATCACAAACAATTGCCCAGGACGTCATCATTAAATAAAGATGTTGAAGCATTGAATATTTACTACTATTCCAAAATGCATCTCCAAACCTTGGATCATACTAATAAACATTTTTTTAATAATTATTTACATTTATAAAATAATAAATCAATTGTAAATATAACTAACTTTAATAGCTACTGGGTATATAACACTGCCAACTTCAAAACTTCCTTTTTTGAACTGCATAACAGATGTGTTGTTGATACATGTTCCTTCAGGAAATACTAGTATTGGAGGATTAATTGGATTTGATACATGTTCCCGAAGTCTGAAAATTATATAAGTAATCATTTGAAACAATTTTGTTTTCAAAATATTTAGAATAATTTTAAGTTATTTATGCTATGAACTTATTGACAATATTCTATGATACATAGAGGTATTAACTTATTAAATGAACAACAATAATACAAAATTATGATAGCTAATAATATAATATTAGCAATATTTCTAGAAAAATTACTTTAAAATATTGTATACCATTAATAGAAAAATTAATTACGAATAGTAATATAAATGTATTTTAGAAGATCCTTGGGAATAATATTCACTAGTGCGCTCTCCCCTAAAAATAATTTTTTTGTAAACATTGATTTATCATTAAATTCAAATTTAATATAATATCTATTAAAATGACTAAGCCCAAACCAAATCTATTATCTACATAAAAGCTAAGTTTTTTGGGTTTTATCTTTTATTTAAAAAGAGAATTTACAGAAATGTAAATATAAACTTATGTTGTAAAGTAATTCAATCAAAATGTCATTATCATAAAAGTTTATAATTTTTTAACTGTCTTCAATAACTTCAATGAATCTAACTATATGTTTGAAATGAAATTGGTCAATGGACTGTATAATTTAAATCCATCAATTAATATCATAAGTATTGTGCAACTTCTAAAGTTTATGAAATACTATCTTTTATATTGAATTTTATAAATAAAAGTGTACAACTTGTATAGATTTTTAATAATTACAATTTACAATAATTATTAAAAAAAAGGTAAATATTTTTTTTTAATTAAAACTAATGATGAATCATCAGATTCTTTAGTTATTTTAAGCTTAATGTTAATACGTTTAAATTAATTATTTATGTGTTGTTTAGTGTAGTAAGGCATAACTGATGATAATCAATTATTTATAAATAATAAAGTTATTATGCTACTGCAATATAATCAATGTTAAAAATTACTAATTAGTAATTCCAATAAAATATATTTACCTCATTGCAACAATTTCTCTGTCTTTGGCTTCTGACCGTTCAAACCATAAATGAGGAGAAGCTCTAGCTAATGCTCTTTGAAGGATTCCTAAAAATCCACCATGGCGCTGGCCAATCTGGTATTAATACAATGTAAAATTATTCGATTAACTTCATAGTTTTATTATTAAAAAAAATTGTAGTTTATCCAATATTTAATAAAAATTAAATTTAAAATTTGGTTTATAAAAATGTTATGTTAAGTATGCAATATTGTGTAGATAGATAAATTAATATTTGTAAATTAGGATTGCCATTTGTACTGGGTGCTAATGGTTTTCAGTACAAAAATCAGACAACTTTTAAGTTCTGTTTACTACATAAAAAATAGTTTATTCCAAAATCAATTCTAGTGTGTAATAATATTTATACCAAGTATAATTAAAATAAAATTACAAAAAAATATGAAATAAAATATTATGTTTCTATCAAAATTGATCGAAATAGGTAATAATAAATTAATTTTTATACACCACTGAGATATAGTTGATAAGAGGTTGATAGGTTACTAGAGTAGGTATAATTTTTTTTTCTTATTCGTAATACTATCTTGGATAAATATTAGAAATTATTAAAGACTATTAACCATATGACATTTTTTTACTGGACGAAAGGATTACTGCAGTTTTTCAGATTAAAATTTTAAATAAATGGCAACCCTATTATAAATAATATAATTGTTAGATAAAGCAAATGTTAAATGCGTATTACTTATTATCATTGAATTTATGGTGTTGTATGAGTGCTTCCTATAATATAACGTTTTTGGATAAACTACTCTTAAATATTTGCATTATGATAATAATGATGGTGCACTTAATGAGACGCACCAGAGCGTAAGGGTTATCGCATGCTAACACTAGTACGTCAACTGGAGATGTATGGTTGGCAACACAAATGCCTCGCTTAGGTAAGTTCTTGCGATTATGATAAGTGATGACTGAAGACAGTGAAGCAGATAAAACTTGAAAACACATAATGGATAAATTTTGGTTCAGCCAACGTTTACCCCAACTATCAGGCACAAAACCAACAATTAATGTACAAATCCACAGCCACATGACCTATTCACATAAAATATTAAAATTATCATAAAAGTGAACAAAAGACAAGGAAAAAAAAAATTATGATTTATTTAAAAACAATATATGTATAAAAGAGTGTTTCTTTCATAAATAATGCATTTTTGAATCTTATAATAAATCAATTTAATTTTAAAAGAAATATTTTATATTTTTATGTATTGTTTTATTACGAGTTGAAATCTAAGTATGAAACACATTATCACATACACGATCACCTCTACTCGCTCGGTAATTCTGTCAATAATACTTTTAATCATGTTTTAAAAGACTTAGCCATCTAGTTCTCTTATAACCTATTGAATTTCATGCTTGAAATCAAATTAAGTTCATGGTTTATTATTTAGAGTGATTTGATGAATTCCCAAAGAAAAAAACTTCACTTGAAATTAAATCACATGATTTTAATCATTATTGATTACTTTGGAGATAAAGAAGTAGGCTATGATATTGTTACAAAATAATGTAATCATCACCCCAGAAGTGTAACAGATATTTCACATTTAAACCTCAATTATTCGTAATGAAATCATACATACCCAATGTAAAATATTACTTTTAAATTGAAAACTACATTCTTTATGAACACCCTTTACATACATATTACATCAACATAATCCAGATATGTTTAACATAAGATTGTATTACACTGTTTTATTTAGCTGTATATAAAAATAAATAAATAATATAATTTTCTCATTCAAATTCTTTTAAAGGAATTTTATTTTATTGATAAATTTATATATTTTAACATCTTAATTAAATATTTCTAAAATATATATAAAAGCTTTAAACTTTTTTTGAATTTTGATAGTTGTGATCTATGAATATAAGAGTTATTAAAAATTTTGAACTTTAAACTAGACCAAGAGTACCCTCCTCCCAAATATTTCACATTTTATAAAATTTATATTTACATGGACTATTAGATGTAAATCAACTTAGTTTAATAACTTGGGACACTTTAGAAGAATAAATATTTAAAAAAAATGTGAACAATTAATAATATTTTTTTTATTTAAGTGTATTATGCATGCATCGAGTTAAGAAATTAATAATTACTAACTTTTAAGTTAAAGTAGATAATATATGTAATACGAGATTTATAATGGATTGCCGTGTATAGTATATTGTAAGCAATATGACAAAAATTCAAAACATTGTAACTTGTAAGTAACACTTTAATAATGTTGCCAAAAAAATATTTAAATTAAATATTAATCAAGTTGACTCATACTTTTCTTTAATAAATACATTAAATTAAAGAAATATAAATTATCATTTATAATTAAAGATATTTAGCCAAACAGATAAAAATCATATTTTTTTACCACTCAAAAAAAAATTATATTGCTTACTCATTACTTTTTAAGTAAATTAAATTGTGCAGTATAATTTTTAAGTTGAAATTATATTTAATGAAAAAATGTATCTTCATCAAACAATGCAAACATGCATATACTTGACTAATTACCAAAATATAATAACTGTGAGCAAATAGAATAAGAATATCAATTGGCGATGTATGGTTGGCCACACAGATTCCATTACGTCTTGGAATCCATTGCGGATTATGGACATTAATGACCATTGTCATGGCATATTGAAATAGTACAAAAATATATTGAGAAATATGATTTATCAATGACTTTTGTAATAATTCATCCTTTATGGTCAACCAAATAATGCATATTGTTAAACTAAATAACATAACCTGTAGATTGAATTATATATTGCATTTTTTTTTTTTAACAATAAAACATTTTTTAAGTTTCTATACATTAATTTTTATTGAATACCTACCCTTAATATTTTGTATTATATATTGATTAAATAATAATTACAAAACATATTTAATTAATTATAATATACAGTATTAAAATTACCAATATTACTTATTAATAGAGCTCAAAAATTGATGACTTTTCATTTTTATTGGATTATTTTAAACAGAATCATTTCAACCTAAAAATATTTGTTAATAAAATATACATCCCAATAACTATATACTTTATTTTAGTTCTAAATAAGCCAGTTATATGATATTAAGAATAATTTTTGACATAATTATTCAACGCAAACATAATAATAAATATAATAAAAGAATAACATTATAAAATATATATACAAATGTCATCAGTAGCGTATCGAAGAAGTCTTTCTTGAGGTAATCGTCTCAACCACAAAATGGTTAGGCAGGTTTAAAAACTATAGATTTTTGAGTGGTCAAATGGTAGTTTGCCTCAAGTCTAAAAATTATTACGCACATTACTGAATGTTACTATGATTTTAGATTAAGGAATTACAATACATCTTAAATAAGTAAAAGCTTGTTGAGATGAACATATAAATATCCAGTCTTAACAATTTTATTACTTGCATAACATAGAAAGTTATTTGTAGGGTCAACATAAGATCCAGTTAAAAGAGTGTCAGATACAACATTTTAAATTTTGAAAAATGAGCAAATTAATAAATGTATTTATTTCTGTCAAAAATCTCGTTAATTATCTATTATCGCATTACTTTTATTTGTAATTATCGATTCTATGCATATTAGGGAATTATATATATGGTTGGTAATTAGAAATACTAGATAGACTGAAAGATAGGAGTTTTTAGGTAATTTCTAACTAAATTACAGAAAAATTCCACCTTTTTTTCATTTATAATTTTAATTTAATTAAATCGTTAAATTTTAAAATGGAATATATTTGATAATTTATTTTAATTCTTCAAACATAATAAATAATCATTACAAAACTTTTTCGTACAAATAGAATTATGTCATATAATATAATCTTATAAAAATATTTGTTTTACTATTTTTATTGTTATTACCATTATTTAACATTTATAGGTTATATTTTCAACTTTTTGAGTCATTATTTAATGTTTTTTTTTTTAGGTCATCAACTGCTAAGCTCAATCAAATTCAATAATTTATTGATATTTATACTTCTTGAATTGTGTAAATTTATCAAATATTAAAAAATAAACCTAATACTTATTGTTTATATAAAATAAAATAATATACAATAATTAAAATTAATTTTTAAATTAAACTTTGATACAGATATTTAAATTAAATAAATAAATATTATTTTAGACTAAGTAAATCTTTCAATTTAAAAGTATCATATAAGTAAATAAATTATTAAAAATAAATAAATAAAAATAAAAACTTACTCCAAAGAAACAGATCAATACACGTAATGGCAACAAAAATGTATATCTTACAATAAATCCAATAATCCAAATGACAGTTATTTTCCAATTGATGAACTCATAATGTCTATTTGTCCTTGTCAACAAATTCCAAGACTAAAAATAATTACATTTATGTCAGAAATAATTAACACAAAGTAAATACATTAGATCAGAGGTTCCCAAAATTTTTATAGCACGACCCATTTTGAAAATTATTTAAATTTTGGCAACCCACAATAACATAATGGGCGTATTTAGTTTTTTTATCTGATAATCTTTTTTTGCGACCCATAGTTTGGGAACCTCTGCATTAGATTAACAAGAACACCCGGCAGCTACCAATTTTCATCAGGCAATAGTCAAGCTAAACTCATTTATTACAAACACTAAGTAAACCATTAGCAAGCCATGCCCTTGCGTACAAATCAGCCCCCAAGATATCTTCTTAACTTGAATAGAGTATGTCTTGTATATACATTATTACTAACTTAAAATGGTTTTTATTTATCTCAAATTAGCATAATTATAATACAAATATTTAGTTTTAAAACTATTATTAATTTAATTTAATACTAGTAAGTTATTGAAATAAATGTTTTAATCTATATAACATCAACAATCCCATTTTTATAAGGTACAATAGTTAAATTATTGTATTAAATATTATCCTTATAACTAATTACTAATTAAATATTTTTACCTTGAGTTCTTCTGCTTCAAATCGTGAAGTAACTTGATCTTCTATAATTGCTTCAACACCAGTTTTCACATAATCAAGTACATCAGCAAGTTCAAATTCTCGTTTTAATGTATTAAATGAACGTGTTCTTTGTAATATTTGTTTACCCTAATAATTGAATTTATAAATTAAATTTTGATTTTAATTGAATGTAATTAAAACATAGAATAATTAAAAATTTAAATTATATAATATATTTTATAGATAAAAAATGTAACTATTAATTTTTAAACTTACTCCTTCAGTTTTAACATTATTATTGCCATTATAATTTTGATCTGGATCTGGAACTAGTATTAAATCTTGTCTGCTTATTAAAGGTGGAGCTCCATTCTGTATTTTCTTGTCAACACTTCCATTAGATAGACTATGAGTTGAGTTACTTCGAGAGATAGATCCATTTGAACTTATTGGCACTGAATGTGATGTAGATTTATTTAATGTATCTGTGTCAAGTTCAGTTATCAAATCCAGTTCATCAACATCATCGTTTTCTTCACTATCAGTTTCTTCAATTCTTTTAGGTTTTTTTTTTGATTGTTTTTCTAGATTTTCTCGCCCATACTAATATAAAATAAATAATATTATCTAAATTAATGTTGATTTCTTTTTTTTCAAAACCTATTACTTTTAGGCTATACCTAAACAAACATATTACTATATTACACATGACGACAAAAGTTAGCTGATTTTTGTTTTATATAAACAGCATTAGGTTAGAAACTGAAAATTCAGGGTACTTTCTGAATTCAAACTTGATAAATAATAACAAATTGTGAAAATAATTGGCAAAATTGAATAGTTATTTTATTTTTCTAAGTACTAATAACACAGGTACTTGAAATGGAATTTAAATTAATTTTAATATAAATAAATTAATACATTTTAAATTGCTAGTAAACTTATAAATAGGGTTAAAGTTTTAAAGTAAATGCTTTTGATTTTTGTAAATGATAGAAAAATAATTCTTTTACAAAAATTTGTTCCATTAATTTTTAAAGAAATAGATAAAAATAATTTTTTCTTTTTTTCTTTTATCTCTATTTTTATTTTTGTATTTAATTACTAATTAATCATAATAGTTCTATATGTATTTATGGTACAAATTGATAAAATTTTGTGAAAATGCCGCGTTTTCAATGTTATATTAATAATTACCTTTAACGGGCATATTATTTTATTATTGCTGTTTAGAATCGATCAAGTCAATTAAGAGTTTATCAAAATAGCTATTTTAATAGATTAAAATGTGTTCTTGGTTGATAGATTTTAGGTCTGTCAGTAAATGTTTTTTTTTTTTTTTGCTTTTTTATTGTTTATACTGCTTACAAATTTAAACTCTATTTATAAATGTATCTAAGTGAGGGATCTAGAATTGTGATAACTTTAACACTAATACTACCTATAAAATAGCATTTTAAAACAGTATAAAATGTGTCAAAAGATAATATTTTAATAGATATTAATACATTACTAAATTTAAGAAATTTCATGCACTGCCTAAGTGAATATATATCATATATTGATATATTATATTACCTACTTATAAATTATATATTATTAGTAGTCATTATTACTAACCTATCACCTTAAATATGATAAAATATAATTTTTTTTACAAAATGTATAATTATTTTATTCCAATTAATATAATTTAAAAATAAGTATAAATGTATATACTTATATAATATATATATTTAGTTTTATATATTATTATTAAAAGGTTATTTGTTATCAACTGTCAAGGTCATTAAAAACCATATTAAAAATAATGAAAAGTTTAATTTATAAAACGCTTTTCTTGTTTGAAAATATGTATTATTTATCATATATTTAGTAAATATCTTTGAAAATATATTTATAGATATCAAAAACATACAGAAAAATACAGGTTTTTACTGAGAATTATATACATATTTATATTATATAATAATTAAATTTTATAAAAGTGAGTTGCTTTTCTTTAAAAGTACCTAACTAACATATTTTTTGGATAAAATAATGAAATATAAGTTTAAATAAAATGCAACAAAAATTCAACAAATGGGTTATCTAAAAATTATTTATTTAAGTAATATAACAGAATCATATTAAATAATGTTTTTCTAAATAAGGTTCAATTAAATAACTAGTTTGGTGCAATAATTAAAAGTAATTTACTGAATTTTTTATTTTTTATGGGATTAAGAATCTATTGTTCATTTTAAGTGTGCATGTTGTGGAAGAAATACAGATTACATTATTCTGAATCTAATATACAATTTTCTTCAATACAAATTTCATTACTTTATTCCTTTATATATATACAGTAGGTATTTGTACCCACATATTATATTTATATAAGTAAACCAAAATAATTTTCTTTATTAATATTATTAATATTTAGTAAGTACCTCCTAATTATTATTTTAGATCATTAAAACCAAAAAATTATATTGTATAAGACTATATCAAATTATAAACCAATAGATGAAACATATTTTTTAAGTTTAATTTAGTTTTCCAGTAATGTGTAGACAAAAAAATTAACTTTGATATTTAAAATTATATATACATATAATACATAAAAACCTTATACTATATGGTATAATTATGTTAAAGTAAAATTAAAAAAAAAACAGGTCTTTGATTTCTGGTTTTTACATAATATTACGTATAAATATCAAAGTTAAAATAACATTGTGTAACTTATTTTGTAGTTATGCAAGATGAAAAAGCAATATAGTGAATAGAAATGAACCAATAAATAATGTACCTATAACTGATAAGTTAAGAAAATATTAGTTTATCAAAAACAGAATATCATATCATTAATCATTAAAGAACATTACCCTTACACAACCTTTGAACATTTGTTAGTTAATATTAAACCAAGTAAAATATTAACATATAATATAATACATGATGTACTTTAAACTTTTATAATATGCTACCAAAATAAAATATGTATTTTTAAACTCATTCAGTATTTATTTTTAATATCAATATCAAATGAAAAAGAAATTATTTTATACGTGATATTATTAACTTATTTAAATTTTAACAAACAATATTTGTTACTTAAATAACATATAATCATTATATATATTTTTGTTAAAATACAATCCTTCAATGTTCAGCAGTATGTTAGTAATTAAACCCTCCATAATGATCATTCTTGTTCAAGCATCTAAATTCTACTAACAATTCTATAATAATCTACATAATCATTTAAATCTTCTCATATCTAATTTATCCTCTCTAGAACCACTTGATACAACCCGTCAATTAACCTTTTAACTAAGTTATTATTGATACCTACTTAAATTATATATATATATATATATAAAAAATCAATTCTTGAACTTGGTTTTTAAATAACTTATATTAATGTTAACATTATTTAAATATGTAGGTATGTATATTTTCTTTATTCATGTCTTCTACATGTCATTTGTTTTTTCTTTTGATTAAATTTACATATTGTATTATTTAATATAGATTATAAAAATAAAAAATAATTTTTTATCACAATTTAAATCAAAGAAGACATGTACAATATTTATTATTTTTTTAATCAATTTAAATCTTGTTAAAGAAAAATGTTAGTACCTACCTAGTTTAAAGCAATCATATTTATTTTCATTGTATGTATCTAATAGTGTACATCACATACAAAAACATAAACTAAGACTAGGATATAGTATATATCTAGATATATTATCTAGATAATAGATAACAATCCTTCATTTTTAGAAATTTAAAAAAAAAATTATAACCTTAATAATTTTATTTTTAATAATTGCTAATACCTATTGTTTAACAGTTTTTTAAAAATATTATAATTTCTGATACTAACACAAATTCCTACTACTAAAAATTACATTGTAAAAACTACCTATCTATTTAAATATTCATATTTGGTAATTTATAGAGAAAATCAATCATGTACAATTATAACCAACAATTTTAATTGCATCACTATTATAGTTATAAATTTTATAGTAAACGCCAAAAATTGTATAATTTATTTAATTATCAAATAATATTTCAACAACTTTACAAAAGTCTACAAGTAAAATTGAAAAAGTTAATTTTAATGAAATAAAATTTACATAATAATATTACATTTTAACCATAATATTATTATATATAAATACGTAGATAGGAGTTGATAATTTGTTTTTGATGGTATTTTATCAAAAAAATAATAAAAATACCAACAATAATAATACACTCATGTATTAAAGATCAACTTTGAACAATTTTTTTTATATCTCATATATATTACTCACCTCAAATACTTTAACTAGGAAGTCCACGTAGATCTGCTGTAATCCTAGCGTTTTGCCAACATAAGCCAATAGAACGATGCTGAGAAAGAAAAGGAGAAACGGAATGAATATCACGGAGAGAACGGTGAAGGACAGGGTGTCCATGACGGATACAGAGGACGACATGGCGATGATTTATAGAAAGGAAAACCGTTACCTCGACGATTACATAGCGATGCCTTGGCCGTCTTGTGCGAAAATACTAGGACGCCGTGTAGCCACTCATAGGAATACAAACGATTATCATTGAACTAATTTGTTAAAATGTACAACCGATACGAACAAAACTATTTTCGGGAAACGGTCAAACGGCACGTCGTCGATAACGTCCCAAACGCACGAGACGTCGACGAGTAATATTCGTGGGGTCGTATCTTTCTTTACCTATTCTTGGGAGGAGATAGGCGAGCGTAAATTATGTGATTTATCAACGTAGGTGGAAAAAATCGAGAATATTAAAATATAATAAAAAATTAAAAAATTAAAAAATACCGTTGTTCGAGACCAACACGGACGTTGTATTATTATTATTATTATAATTATTATCCGTATAATAATAAATTAATATGTGTGATACCGCGATAGGCGAGCGACTGATGACTACGGAGACGCAACAATCAGCGGCGTGCGGGACTGGCAGAGTGTAGATTGTCGAGACCACAGATAAAAGTTACACAAGTCACAACAATACGAACTACTGATATTGCCTATTATTGTGTATCCGTCGGAGCAACGCAGACGTCGTCATCCGGTAACTGGTAAGTGCGCTGCCGCGGTTTACTGTTGTGCAAGCATGGCGAAACGATAATCAACGCCTCGGCAGCGGTGGCGGTGGGCATGGCCAAACATTTACAACGTATATAAACGCACGGGGATGACGTCACGTTCCGAATTCCGCGGTCCCTCGACTGATGCGCGGCAAAAGCGATTAGGCACTATTTACTATAACCGCGGTCCGCGACGTGGTCCGTGTAGATAAAACGTATTCGTGTATGTCGTACGTGTATATATATACAGGCCCGGTAATCGGCGTGTTAGCGCCCAGGTAACCGTCAAGTGCATTTAGAAATTTTAGGTGTAGTGTGTACCCACAGATATAATATATTAATAATATTAATATTTAATACATATTTGTGGGTGTACCTATCGTACAAATATGTTTACCTATAATAATTAATAATGTATATTCTCCTGTATATAGGTACCTACAACAAGTTGCGGTGTATTTATATACATAATATTTTGTAAGGAACTGCAAATAATAAAATGTTTTACATCGCGAGTATGAACTCGTATTCTTACCGAAAGCCAACGTATCTAAGGGCATGAGACGTAGAAGTCAAACAAAAAGAAAAGTCTGTACACGGTGGCAGACGTAGGTATAAACGTCATCTTCGTTAATACCTACGCTCGTAGGTACGCCATCGCCATGCAGTGCCCACTGTCTTGCTACGACACTACGGTAAAATATAATATAATATTATGATTGTTGAACCATAGTTCATTGTTCAAATAAACAGCATTGGTACGCTTGCTGATGCCTGATACTTTAATTAATACGAAAAAAATAAAAACCGTCAAGCGGAGATAAAGCTTAAGTATATATACCAAGACCAGAACTGATATAAGAAAAATCAAAGAAAGTTAACTCCATGACTTTAAAAAGTTATTGTTTCTTGAAATGATTGAAACAGACCAATTAACTTGTGAAGGTAGGAAACAGGAGTTAAGTTCAACATAGCCCACACCCTTTAACATCATCATAAAATCTCGAGCGATTAAAGGTACCTTCCCAAAAGATTTTAACATGTATTATAACCAATAACAATAACGGTTGATGATTATAATTTATAATATATTTTTATTTTAACAACATTGGTTAAATTCTACACGCAGTATTTTATTCACATAAAAAATAATTTTAATGTGCCTATACATATAGTCAATTTTTTTTCCTAAAATTATAATAAAAAATTATCTTCTATAACAATTACACAGTATCATAAATCTGATTTTTAATAATAATAAGTTATATGATTCATCAAAATTCAGATTAGGTACCTACCTGACTTCTAATATCATATTTAATAAAAATACATACAAAAAAAAGGTGGGCAAGTATTAGTGAGTAGGCATACCGCTCACTAGTACTACTGCAGTATACAGGTATCAAGTGAGTTATAAATTGATGTATTAAATTTAAATTTAATAATATGAATAATATAGTAATAATATCGTATGGCATTAGACTAATGCCATTAGTTATAACTTATAACTTATAATATTCACAAAAAAATGATTCTGAATGAAGACGGTCAATCAATCTATTTTATTGAGTATATATAGTTACCTAATGATAATAATGTTATTTTTAATATTAAGTATGGCCAGTATAGATATATTAAAAATGTATTTTACTAGATACTAGTATTAGTTTGTGGGTGTAGTGAGGGCGAAGCAGGAAGGGGGGAACTTGCCCCCTCCCTACGATTCAGACTAAATTCTATTTCTTATACTAAACGTGTAAATTTTACTATAAAATGTGGAAAAAGGAAAAAAAAAATGTCATCAGATAACCAACCTAAGTCCCCTTCCCTGCGCTTCACACTTAATTCTTACCAAACTATAAAAGAAAAAAAAGAAAAAAATAACTAGTTATTCATTTTTAAGTCAATATCATCTTACTTTAAAACAGTGTAAATAGGTTTATAATAAAATTAGGTATCTAATAGCTTAAAATTAATTTATGTTATTGGGTATAGAAAGATTCATAATATACGTCAACGCTTTAAGTTCTCCCGAATAATGTTTTTGTATTATAATAAAATAATTAAAAATGATCGTTAAATATGTCATTTAGTCCAAATTTAAAGTTTAAATGTAATTAAAACATAATTATTATGTTTATAAATTTTTTTAAATGTTAAGCTTCATTTTGAATTTTTTATGAGCCACCTTGAACTAGATTTTCTAATCTTAGATAGGTATACAAAGTCAACATTCTATGAATTATTAACTACAAAATATTATTTGTAAACTTTTGTGATTTTATTAAAATTTGAATATCAAATGCTTAGGAGGCTCAAGCGGTTCGTCTTTTGGAAGACTTAACATTTTTGTATGACGTACAACTTATATTATTTGTAAGGTTTGCACACGTGCACACACTTAGGATTGCATACATTTATTTATTTATTTGACAGTCAGCTGCAAGCAACAAAATTTTAATTACACCGCTTTCATATTTTATTTGTTCTGAATCGTAGGATGCTTTACATCCACACCCTTTATCATAATTGCAAGGACAGTTTATTGTTATGTACATTTTTAATATACTTCAATAAAAATAATTTTTCACAATTATATAAGTATATTACTTACTGATTTTTGTAAAGTCTTCAATATTGATAGCAAATAATGGATATTAAATTAATCGTTTTTTTTATATTTTTATTTGTAAGCACAGGACACAGGTATACCTATATTATTTTTTATTTTGAAGGTTAAGTTGCTAAGATTTAAGTTAAGATATAAATTATGAATTATTCTCTGGGTTCTTCAGAAGAATTTGCCATTGATATTATATTATTACATCATGTTCGCAACTACACAAGTACAAATGTCAAATACAATAATAATTAAATGAAGGGCTACGGGGAAAAATGATCCTATTCAAAAAATAAAAATTAAATAAAATAATATAATAAATATTAAATAATAGGAATGGAAACTTATTCCACCCGTGCTGAAAATACTGGGTACCACACATTGTTCAAAATTTACCAATTTCATCTGATAATTGGTAAAAATTATTAATAATAATTTGATAACAATTCTTTATTATTTATACAATTTAAAGTTATCGCAATCACAAAAGTTTTTGATCACTAGATAGCTTTTTCTCTCAAGTTGTAGGTCTCTAAAATGTAGCTAATTTATTTGATTTATGTTATCTTATTTAATTAACCTTTAAGCATCATTTGTGCTTATTGTAAAATACGATATTTATAAACTATACAAAGTCCAAATCAAAAAAACAAAAAATAAAAATAATCATTATAATATTTATACCAAGACAAATTAAACCGGGTAGGTACCTAATTTTATAATTTTGTCTATGGATTCTTCAATTAAAAATTTACTTTAAAATTATTGACTAAATTTTTTTAATATAGGTTAGATTTTTATGTTTTATTTTTTCTGTTTAACATATAGGTACATTGTAACACATAGGCAATAAAAAAAAAATAAAATAATTTATTATAAAATCAACTTGACCCCCTTCGCTTTGTTTATAAATTCTCAAATAATATAATATAAGCTACTTAACTATTGACTATACTAGGTAGGTAGGTACTATAGTAATTATTGTTACCTTCTATGTTCTTAATTATTATATATGTACCTACCTATTATATACACATTATACACTTGTATAATTTATTCATAAATAGGTTTATGGTTATAACTACACCTATACGGCTGTACCCAAAACTTATACCTGTGTAATAAATCCATGTAGATACTATATGGAGTATGGACACCTGCTAGTACTGACTATTATTACTTAATAATTATTAGTTATAAATAAACCCATCCCTGTTAAAACAAATATAACACTTTCCCGTAAACTAAGTACTATAAATACTATAAAATTTCATCATATATTCATATCCCAGTGCCATGTTACAGAGGTTCATACAGAAACATTATTATGACATTGGATGAATAAAACTTTTATTACAAAAGGGTTAGATTTTTAATACTAAAATGTGCATGCTATTCCAAATTAAAATAAAAGTTAATCTTTTTTAATTTTTGTTATTATATATTAATATATTATGAATTAAAAATATATAGGTACCTAAGTTTATATAGGGTAATTAAATTAAAGGTAAACACTCGTTTAATTAATAGGTACATTAAAACATTTTTGAAAAAACATATATTTTTCACTATTTTCAATTTTGCATTCTGAGTTAAGTAACTAATGTATACATTGATTTTATTGAGATATGAAAAATTATTTTTTTTGTCTGTAATTACAGACAGTAAAATAGTAAAAATGCTTTGATTTTCAACTTGGAGCGCGATATCAGATAGAAAACAAGATCTAGTTAATATTTTTGAGAAGTTAAAACTCGAAACTTTCCAGTATATTTATAAATAATTTTCCTATAAAATCAATTATGTTTTTTTCATTTTCTATAATAACTTAAAAATAGTTGGGACTTAATATTTTGGTAGAATATTTATACTAGTATTTAATAGACATTAAAAATGTTTAAATATTTCGACTTTTTTTTGTTATTTATATAGGCGTTAAAATTATTGATTTATTTGTATGATACAATTTTTGTTTTTAGGTGAATAAGTTAAAAAAAATTAACACATAAGCTATTCATTTATCAAATAAAAAATGTCGTAAATACACACCTACAATTTTTTTTATAAACTATAAAAATTTAAATGATACCTACTGGTTTGTTATGTTTTTACCATCTAAACAATAAAGAATTATATAATATGCAAAATAAATATTACCACTAGTCACAACAGTAGATATTCGTCTACTTACTTTATTTACCTATACCTACAATAATTATAGAAAATTAAATTATTTATTCTAAAATATACTCCATATAACCCCATTATGCGTGCACACGGGTGCAGCAGTGTTTCCGTTGCACTTATAATTTATTTTTAGTATTTATGTACATAGTAGGTATGAACAGTTTTAAGTATACCTATAGAATTTAAAATATAATTGTTTAATATTGATTGAATAAAAAAGAATAAAATTATTGATTAATGGAAGAAGTCACTTGTGTACGATATAAGTAGGTAGGTACCTACACATATGAACACAATTATGTATATTATTTTATGTATAAGCAATAACTGTTAAATCGAGACATAGCGATAGCACATACTAAATGGAAAATACCCATAATACTCTAACATTTATAAAAAAAAAAAAGAATGAATAGAATGACACAATACCTTTAAATTACTTATAAATCGTACTCTTTTTGATTTATTCATAACAAAAGAATTTAGTGGATATATGGGCTGAACCAGATATAGTCCTGCGCATGCCTATAATAATAACATAAAAATAGAGGTCGAAACTTTCTTCATTCAAAAAAAGTAAAAATAAATCGAATTAAACACATCATATGAATATAATCAAATGATTATATTGGTCAATTATTGATTAATATACATGTAATTATTATAATTTATTATTAAGACTCGTGTTATAGATTTTAGTAGGTACCTATAGGCCGAAGTTGATGAAGACGTCAGGTTTATTTAATGTATTTTGACTATGTTAACATGTTATTTAAAGTAGACATTTATTTAACTGATGTTGTCAAATTTGTTTGTTATTATTTATTAAATATAAGTGGAGGGCATTTCATTCTTTTAAGGGAAAAGTTCACCTGAGTGAATTTTTCATTAAAACCTAACTTTAATATTTTAGTTCTATTTAATTAGGTATCTAACTCAATTTGATTTAAAAGCAATTATTAATTTACTTGAAATAGGTATATAAATATATTTAGTGTACATAGTAAATATGATAGTGTGGGTGAGAGGTCACTCATTATTCTACACCGGATAGTTGAATAATTTAAAAATTATTATGTAATATATACCTATATTTAGAATATGCACTAAGAAGATCTTCCTAGTTTATGATTTACAATAAGCATACTTGATGTAGGTAATAGGTAGCTAGTTATTAAATATACAATGATATGAATAGGTAGGTACACTTGTGTTCAACGATGTAGGAAATACTAAATATTTCTATTGCATGATTCTGAATTTCAAATGAGCTTTTTTTTTACTGCAAAACAGCTTAATTTTTATAAATATTTTTTCGCGTATTCATAGAAAAAGGAAATTATTATAATCCTGCCACTTATTCAAATTTTAATTCAATTATTTTTTTAAAAAATTGATTGTGTTCTTTCTACTTTAATATTTGACTTGAGAGTGAGTTAGTTTTCATTTATGTAACTATTTATTGTATTTTTGAATAGTATTACAATTGCATAGTGTCATGTGATTTTCAAGGCAGACTTAAAAAAATATTATTCAAGAGAATGATTTAACTTGTGAAAATAATGCTTTTATAAATCATACACAATGATATTTATATTGATTGGAAAATTTGTTTTTTATTCCCTTACAGGGCTTACAGTACTCCATAATTATTAGATGCCATAACACTAAATTATTAGTTTTTTTTAGATTAAGTTAGGAATACTGTTTTAAAAGTGGGTAGAGACTTGCATCTAGAATTTAACAGACATTTATTGTTTAAAATTTGGTTTGAGGTTAGTTGTATCGATCACTATTAGTTGATTCTTCTATTATATTGTTTAGAAAACTAGGAAACTATATTTCATTAATAAAACTATAGAGAGTAAAGGTGATATTTGACAATTTTATTTATTTATTTTGATTTTTTTATTTAGAATAACATTATTTAATAATTAATACTGTTTAAATAATTTAGTTAATATAGATTACAGAGTATTCTTAATATTATATTAACCAAGACTATAGAGATATTGTAATAACAATATAATTCATACTATTTTTATTATAAGAAATTTGGAAGACTTTGTATTACTTTTATATTATTAATATATATTTTTTTTAATTTAACAAATATAATACAATATTATTTTATATTTGTTAATCTTATAAAACTTTTGTTATTTTTCTATTTTTAATAACCACTAGTAACAGTATCTTCAAGTGTAGTCAAGTGTACTTCACAGTTAATAAGTAGTTATAATATCAATATAACTCGTATCCTATTTTATTCTTATTTATTTAGTTACACTTATTAACTTTTATTTATAATTCACGATATAATATTTATATAATTAACAATATTTAATAAATTACAATGTTTGATTAAGTTTTTTTTAAATGTTTTAGAACTAAAAATAATTTCTTTGTTTGAATAAACAAATAGACTAATTTACAAAATAATAAATTTAAATTTATCAATATCTTGAGTCTTATAAGTAAATACTTCATAATATTTTATTCTAAAATAAATGCAATCTTCTGGTATTTTTTTTGACATTTCTTAACATAACAATTTTCAAAAGCCTAAAAGATAATAAACACAAAATAATAAGTATTTCTAAATTATTGGATATAAAATAAAAATTATAATAATTAATATAAGCTTCATTCCTCGATAAAGGAAATGAACCATTTTAAAACATAAACTTATAATTAAATAATGTCTAGGTTACAGGTAACAACAATGAATAAAAATCTGTGTAAATCTAAGATTTAGTTAAAATAATAAAAGGCATAATTTTTTAAATACATAAATATTACAAATTATAATAATTATAATTAATCTTTCTTTTTTTGATACAATCATACTAAATATAGATATTAAAATAAATCAGAAATGATAGAATTAACAAGTGAAGATAAAATTATCAATAAAATTCGTGTATGTTTTTATTTTTGATACTAAAATTATTTACTTACTTTTTAATTATTTAATAAGTTTAGGAGAAGGAGCAGTAATAATAACAGGTGAGTTTGGTTTAGTCCAATCATTCTTTTGTACATTTGTTGGTTTAATTTTTTTCTGAAAATACACATAACAAATAAATAAATATTTATCATTTATTTATTAGACAATTGAATTTTTACTTGAGATACCTTAATATCAGCGGGTATTTTAAATTTTTTTTTGGTGTAAGGATTTAAATCTGCATTTGAAGTTGATTTAATTTGACTCTTATTATTTTGATTGTTTAAATTTTGGCTGTACTCAATTTTTTTCTGTTTATTAAAAAAAAATAATGTATTTCTTAAAAGTTATAATAGATGATGTAATACACATTATTTAAAGCTCTTGATTTTAATTATGAATAATTATTTTAAATTTCTTTTTTATCAACAGTTTGATTCCAAACTTAAATTAATAAAGAGATTATTCTAAAGTAAAAAATAAAATAAACTAGAAGTTTCTCTACTATACAGTAAGTTGTACCATATGTCACACTGCTAGATCTTTGCTAGATTTAAACTACTGTGTGAATAATTCATTGTTGAAATAACTTAATGTTATTCATAACGCAGGTTTAAGATTGGTCACAAATGACTTCAGAAGTAGTCTCATAAGCAGTATACTTAATAATACTAGAGAACAACAAAATATATGAAGAAACCAACTAATGTTACAATACACAATAAGAATAGCAATAGACCCGAATAAACTAATTTATACTAAAATTTTCAACAATTTATTTAAAAATATCTTTAATAATAACAAATAATTTTAATATTTTTGTGTTTTAGAGTATATAAAAAGTTTTTGAGAATTTTCAATTTTGATATTTCAAAAGTATCAACAAGACACAATTTAATTTATTGTCAGAAACCACCACATTCAAAGTTGAAGATTGATACATTTTATTCAACTACTGTATTTACAAAAAAAAAAAAATCAGATCATTGTAAAAATCTAAAACAAAATCTTGAGATGAAGAATTATATGATTCAATTAAACCTAGCTTTTAATATTTATATTGTATTTTACTGTTTTGTATACCTTTTTTGTTTCAATTTTCATAAACATATAATAGTTATAAATTTTAACTTTATGAAATATTAAAGCTGTTTATACAATACACATAAAAAAACAAAAAATCCGCAACATAAAATCAATCTTAATAATGAAAAATTATAATTAAATTTTATCACCTCTATTTTATTGGTGTTTTTGTCTTCGGATTTTAAGCTAATACTTTTGAATGACGAATTTAATGAACTCTCAACTTGTTTTTCATTATTTTTTTGTTTTAAGTCATTTGATGAAATATTTTTTAATATCTACAAAATATAAAATTAAAATTTTTGCTGTTGGTAATATCATTGAAAAATGTTGTTAATTGTTTTTAAATCAATTTTTTTTAGAATGAACTATTTTATTTTATTAATTAATATATTAATATAATGTCAATTAATAATAATAAATTCATAAAGAACCAAAGAATATAATTATGAATTATAGTTAAAATATACAAAACAAAATTCAACAACAACTAGGTAATACTTCCATAGGCATCCCCTGAGAAGCAAGACAGGATACTTGCCACCCTTTAAAATGTTGAATTTGTTACCTAATTGTAATAATTTAATGTAATAATGATGAAAAATAATAATGTACTATAAATAAAATATATGAAAAAATCTTCATTTATTTTAAATTCATTGTACCCCTCCCCCTAGAAAAATGTCTGGGGACGCCCATGGAGACTTTTTTTTTCTTATAACAAAAAATAATTGTTAACTTTTTCAAACTCACGTGTGAGGTAGTAACATCAATAGATGTTATATGTTTCTTCACATTAGAATTACCAGTATAATTTAAAGGTGAACTTCTTTTTAAACTTGACAAGTTAGATTTTTGAAAAGGTTTGCTTGAAGTAGAACTAACATTCATGTTTGATACATCCTGGTCATTAAACTCAACTATACTCACATCCTATTTTTTTTTTTTTTTTTAATATAATGAATTAAATAAACAGATTAATGAATGATTGATAACATTAAAGCTTTTTAACTTAACAATTGAGAACACTTAACATTAACAAAGACTTTATCACTAACCCAAAACACCAATATGATTGAGAACTAAGTTTTATTCAACATTGCCATATAATTTATTTGGCTATCAAAGGATTTAACACATTGTACTTTGTTGGTTAAACAATTGATTTTTAGCTTTAGTTTAAGAAAAACCTTTAAGTTAAACAGAAAATATAAGTGTAATAATATAAATTGATAAAATAATTTTTTTTAATAATTAATGTATAAATAAATAAAACCGGTAATAAAAATATTCTTGAAAAAAGTCAATAATTAAAATATTATAAAAATATTTGAGTACCTGCTATTTAATAAATAAAAAACAAGTCCATAATGATAAGTTTAACATAAATTTGAAATTAATTTCCATGATTATAAATTTATAACAATATTTGGTAAATCCAATACAAGTCTAATAAATATAATTTGATAAAAATTATTAAATTTAACAATATTTGTAAAAAAAAAAAATGTAATGTCTCAATCATATTACTAAAAATGTCATTCTTAATGATATTTTACCAAATAGTTAAATATAAATATATTATATGAAAGGTGTAAAAAAATGTACTTACATCATCAATATTATCTTCATCACTTAATATCTAAAAAAAAATTAGCCAGAGATGAACAAAAGTGTCTTTGTGAAAATTTTTTTGAAATAACATACCTCAATGGTGTCTAATGTTGGAAGTTGTTGAATTTTTTTTTTTGGTTCTGATCGAGAACATTGATATTTAAGTCGCATAACTTCTATGTATAACTGTTTAGCTTTTGATTTATATTTCATCTAAAATTTATAAAACAACATTTTTAAAGTTTAAAACATTTAAAAATTAATAAAATAAAAGTTTAAGAATTATCAATAGTCTATTGAACTAATAAATTTCTTGATGTAAAGAAAAATGTATGTAGTTATATATCATCCATTATTTTTCAATAAAATTATTAATATATATATATATATATATTTATTACAAATTGTACAAAAATAATAGTGTGTATAAAACTTTATATTTTCTTACTTAAAAGTAGAATAACTTTTGATATAATTCTATGTATAAAAATCACATTTTTAACGAACAGCTAATTGATTAATATTTTTAAGCTAAGATGAGTGGAGCAGCAATTTTTGTATGTTTATAAATTTCTTAAATATATTCTACTTTGGAATAACAAATTTATAATGTTAACATTCAAAAAAATTGTTATAATAAGAAATAGTAAAAAAATATGTTTTTTTAAACTTCAAGATACGCATAAAAATTCAAAAATATTTTTCATGAAATAAGTTAAAAATTATCCTATATTATATTATTAATTAACACAATATTCACATAATTAGCAGTTAATTTTTCAATTTGACCAAAATGCTCTTTGCTTTGATTTTCTAGTTCAATTTTTTCTTTTTCCAGTTCATTTTTTTCTGCAACTAATATTTGAGTAGAGTTTCTAAGCGTTTGATAACTATTAACTAAATTGGTGTTTAATTCCTAAAAGAAAAATATTAATTTTGTCATTTTATTAAGTAATTATTAAATAATAAAAATAACTTATTTCTATGTAGTTATGGAATTTTAATTAACACTCACATCTATTTTATTTTGTAATTCGGGTATTAACACATTATTAGCTTGTAATTCCCCTTGTAAGCTAATTATTGTTTTATTAGAAGTTTCAATTTCTTGTTTTAATTCAATTACTTCAGTTTGATTTTGATTTTCTTTTTCTTTTTGTAATTCTAACTTTTTAGTAATATCTTGTAATCCTTCATCTTGCAGTTTCATTAACTAGAAAATAAATGTATATATATATATACAGTAGGGTCTCGTTAATTCCAATAAGATAGGGGAAAGGAATCATTTGGATTAATGATTTGTTCAGATTACTTAAAAGAAAAAATCAATTTTCTTGCAATTTAAATTTTGAAATTATTCTGTATCTATCTATACTGTAGTATTAATTCATAAAATTCGTTTAAAATCACAACGAATAAATTTAAAATCATTATAATTATGTATATACAGCCAGCTAATATATTCATATAATGTATATTATAAATTATGATACACGTGTGTATTAGTATAGTGATTCGGTTATTTCCAAGCCCGTTCAGATTACTGCGTTTTTCAGATTAGCCTGTGTTGTTCGATTAATGAGACCTTACTATATATGAAAAATATCTACTAAAATAAATTAAAATATTGAAATTATATTAAATTAAGCACTATTTTCTACAAATATTCATAAAATATTTTTAATGTACAAATTAAATATGACCAAACTTAAGTCATTAATTGAAATTTTGATAGAAATGTTTTTAGAATACTCACATTGTCATAATTTTCACACATATTTTTAAATTTCTTTTCTGTTTCTTCTTGAATTTCATGTTGAGACAATTTAATATTGCTAATATCCTCTACCAAATTTGTATTTATTTTTTCAAGATATTCATTCTGTTCTTTTAATGTATAATTATCTTTTTTTAATTTTTCATTCAATTCCTCAATTTTTTTTAGATTATCACATAATTCTGATTGCTCTTTGATCATATTTAATTGCATATCTAGCTGTTTTTTGTTTTTATTTCTAATAAACATAAATTATATATTGTAGGTAAACAAATTCTTAATAATATACATTATACATTTCAAAATAATTACAGAGAAGATTTTAGTACATCAAGTTCATCCAATAAAGTTTCATTTTTAGTTCTTATTTCATCATACTTTTCATTTATGGATTTATTATGATTAGTAAGCTGTAGATTTTTATCTTCAATCTCTCCAAGTTTTGTTTCAAAATTTTGACTGAATAAATATAATAAAAATTGAGCAATTACATATTGATTTACTATTTATACTATCATAATTTACCTAAGATTCAATACTGTTTCTTTTTCTTCATTTAATTTAAAGTTTGCATCATTCAGTTTTTCTGACAAAAAACAATTCTAAAAAAAAAATTGAAAATTTTGTATTTACATTAAAAATTATTCTATTTAATTAAAAAAATTAATATTCTTTATAACTATTGTGCATTATAATGAGTTGTATTATACACCTATTAAATTTAAGGATTATATTTTAAAATATTAAGATTTTTTGCTTAAAATAGGTACCTTATAATAAATAATATATTAAACTTACTTCTTTTTTTAAATATTCTATTTCATTACTACACTCTTGTAAATTTGTCTTCAAAGTAACAATATCTAGAGAATACTTATTTTCTAACGTTTCTAAATCTTGTTTTGTTCTTATTTTCTCCATAGTCACTACAAAGAGAAATTATGTTAAACAATTCTAATAAAAAATAAGTTTAATGGTAAATTATTACATTCAAATAAAAATTTAATCTTTTGATTACTACTGTTGCTTTTTTTATTTTTATTTATAATGTAAGATATTATACAGAATGGAAATATTCAATCAAAAAAGTATTTACAATATAGTAAATTGAATGTAATACATAGCCAGATATTAACATAATTTAATATAGTAGTCAAAGGATAAAAAGAAGTAACATTTAATAGTTTTTAGTTTAACTTTTTGTTTGCTGTTTTTGTCTTTCAAGTTATACTTAACTAAAAAAAAAATTAATATGGTTAAGAAATATTATTTAATGTTATTATTATTATTTTTTTTTAATTTGGTAAATTTTAAATGTTAATACAATTACCTTTGAAATGTTCATGGTAAAAATATTTTTAAGTAGGATTTTTTTTAAATATTTACAGTAAAAAAATAATAGTTTATGCTCCATCTCATATATTTAAAACACTTAATCAATTAATCTGAGACAGTTTCAAATCAACAAATATTTACAATTTTACAGTTATTTTTCTAAACAAAGAAAATTATTCAGAAAGTTGATCTTTTTTAAGAATTCTGATCTTTTTAATAAAATTAGTTAACATTTTGGCTTTTGAGATTTTTTCTCCTGTGTTTACTATTGTATAATTCATTTTTCTATCAAAGTTAAAATATATTTATTTATTAATTTTTTCATGCATTGGGTCCTTTTTTTTTGTTTTACACAAATACAAGAAAATTTTAATTATTCATAAATAATGCCTACAATACCTTGTTTTAATGATTCATCAATGGTATCTGAAATACTCAAAATTTTTTCTTGAAACGTACTAGTTGTTTGATCTACCAATGTCATAACATCTTTTTGTCTGGTTCTTGCATTATCAACTGTGTCGCCAAGTCTGTTTAAACGCTCACAAATATTTGTAAAGCTTGTATTAAGACGAATACATGTTTCATTTACTGACTTTGTCCTAAAATTAATGTTTTACATATAAAATAGGTATTCGACTATTTTTCACATGGTTATTTGTAATGTAACAGACAATTTTGCTATTTATTAAACAATTTAGGTAAATATTATTATTTACATTAAATAGGCAGGTAATCTAAAAAATTAAGAAATTTTTTTTTAAAATAATTAAATTAAAATATTGGTATTTTCTAAGGTAATATTATAATATTGAATGAATGCATTTTTAACTTCACTACATTACAAGTTTGATTATTAAAATCATATAAAGTCAAGTTGTGAGGTTTTCGTTTATTATGAGAAAAAAATATGGACATAGTTCTTAAATCAATAAAATTTTTTTGTAAAAAGCCATTACTTTTCCATTATATTCTTGCACTGATTATTCAGAACGTAGTTGTTATTTTGAGAATTCATCATATTTGTATGCAAGGATTGAATGGTATAATCCCTTTCACTTAATGCTTTTTCATACTCAGAGATTTTTAAAGCCATTGTTACATTTTTTTGATCATTGATCATGCGTTGCAAATCAAAGTATTTTCCAGGATCATTGAGATTTCGATTGAAGTCGTTTTCCAAGACTGATTGACTAATGTCCATGTTCTATAGAAATATAAATTATAAATAATATTAATATCACCTTTTAAACTTTATCATATATAGATATAATTTATTATAGTATGGTAGCCGATTTTAAATTTTTGAAAAAAATGAATTCTAAATATTTAAATAAGTATTTTGGTTATGTAGTTATAACCAAGGATCGGAAGTTGTAGCAAATGCAAATTTTTCTGGTTTGTCCTAGAACATCCAAAGTATGATACAAATATGTTTCACATTTTTTTAATGTCATACACAAAACTTTATTTTGATAGTTTTTACACATTTATGGTTTTTATTGCAATTTTGTTAATTTAATATTTTTAGTGCTATTTTTGGGTATATTTTTCACATAATGTATAAAATATTTGCATTATTGAAAATATATAGGTCAATTACTTCTTTTGTCTTTTATGGATTACTTTGTGGTCATAAAACTTTTTTTTTAGTAAAAATTTTACTTTTTAATTGTAAATTATAAAATTTTAAATTTACACTCTATTTTTTATATGATAAATTTATAAGTTTTTCAAGTTAAATGCATATTTTTTTGATTTTTTGTGCTATTTAAAGCACATATTTTGTAGTTTTTAAGTACATATTTGAGAGCTAGAAAGTAACATTTTTAGTGCTATTATTTCCAAGCTCTGGTTATAACTATTTTAGTATAATTGCATACTTACATTAAAACTATGAAAAGTTGTGTTATTTGGTGAACTACTAGTTTTATCAAATTCATTACAAACATTCAATGAATTAGTATTTTGCTCTTCTTCATTCATTTTAATATAATTTTAGTTATAATATGATTGTGGTTAATCAATTAACATTCAAATAAAGGTTTTCACTGAAACACCAGACTAATTACTATTGAATATGTGCTATCAAGAAACTTCAATTCAAAGACCAATTGAACTCTTCTAAAAAATATTTAAATTATAAAAATCAACAACACAGTAAAGACTAAAACACATATCTAACTACAAAAATGTATGTTAAAAAAATATACAACACTACGATAATATATCCGCTATTTATATATTATTTACTAAACTTACTTAAAGGCTTAGGATATCATACTTCATGCCTATTTGCATAAGGCAAGAAAAGAACTTAGAACACCCAAGTACTATCAAGTGATGAGTAGTAACTGACTTTATAAGCACAAAGCACTAAGTTGTAACTTGTAACCTTTTAAAACACTTTAAAGTTAAAAGACGAAAAAATTATTTTAAGACATTTTAAGACATATAACATAAAATATACCTACAATGTAACCAAGACAAAGGAAAAATATTAAGATGGCGTTTGTCAAAAATACAGGAATGCAACATGACAGGAATAAAGCGGTAACATTTTTTAAATAAATATAATATATCCATACTTATAGATCGTAAACAATAAATTTAACATGTTGAGTATTATTAACCCATATAGTTAGTAGTTACACAATTATATTAACCCCTTACGGCCTTACCCAACACGCATGTACCCACATGGTTACATAATGATTAATGGTACTTACTATTACCTACTGGTGACTGTGGATTACTAATTCTCTTAATATTTCATTTTCCCAGCACCTCCTATAAAAAACTTGTGTGTCTTGGAAAGTTCGAAAGCACAAACGATGGAACTTTCAGCATAAATCAGTACAAACGGTACACAAAAAAGGTTCTTAGTTACGTTTCAAAATTCCTTAGTGGAGGTGCTAGGGAAATGGGCCTATGAATAAACATTTTACAAAGTACCCCTGTAAGTCTTACAGTACCAGTTGACTCCACTGCCACTGTACCTAACTACTAAATTGAAAATGGTAAGTGAGACACTGTATTATGTGTTAAAATTTAATTCAATACTTAATTGAATAATATATAGGTATGTTACGGTAAATGATGTTAAATGGAAATTAACGTTATTCACCGGTTATTAACGTTATTTACCAAATATACAGGTAATTATCGTTATAAACTGGATAATCACGTTAATGACCAAATACACAGGTAATTGATGTTATAAATCAGATAAGCGCATGAATCTCAAATACTACAATTTGAAAAATTATGTAAGTACCCAGATATTTTTAAAAATAGAATAAATGCATTATTATTTTTTATTTATTTTTACAAGTTTTACTCCCATGACATTTAATATAACATAATTTTTCAGCCCCAAGGTAAGCACAATGCTTATTATTATTACAACTAGTCTTGCAATGACAACGCTGGTACCTTCGAGGGCTCGCAACCGAATTATTACTAGCTACTTCCCTCAGTGTCAACTGTCTACCATCTGCTAATTTTATCACATTGTCCATGTCTAATAGATTTTATTTGCAAACAGCTATATTTGGCATGTGAAATAATATTTAAGAAAACTATATTCCGTATTTATAAAATAATAAAACAAATTTTAATTTTAATAGTATATTTTTTCATTAAGAATTAACTTACAGAGTTTGTATAAATCATGTTCAACTTGAGTGACAACTAATAGTATATTTTGCATAGAACCACGAGCTCTATCAACATTTGGTATAAATACACATACAGTTAAGCCTATTTCAAGCTGAGGAAACTTTTCTTTAGAAAATTTCATCATTTCCTCTCCTTGTTTTTCTAAATTTTTTTTTGAATTTTTACATACAATACAAATATTTTCTTGACAATCATCAAAAAAATATTTAAAATAATTTTCAAATATTTATATTTTAGTTTTATTTTTGTTATATTTAAAATTCGGAAATTTATCGTTAAATAATTAAAAAATATTTAAGTACCAAGTTCCGAATTTTTTTCTGCGATTTCTATGATTTAATTTCCGATTTTGTCTTCTTTGATGATTGGTTCTTTGGTTATTTTTTTAAATCTTCCGCAATAACCTCTTTTATTTTATAATCAGATCAAAATTTCCCAAATCATACGGTTATTAACGTTATTCACTAGAAAATAACGATAATTCCCACATTCGTAGGTAAATAACGTTAATAACCGGCGAATAACGTTAATTTCTGATATAACATCATTTACCGTAACAGGTATATTATATCGTTATACATAAAAAATAATTCTTAGTGGAGATGGCCTATTATATGTTTAAATCACCAACTAAGGAAAGGATTATAGTCATATTCATGATACGTTTTTTGAAATTGCTATTAAAGTAATTTGTTTTAATTAAATAGCATTGTGATACCTAGATGATTTTATTCGGTCAAAAATATTACATTTATAAGTATTATAACTATTTATAATTATTTAATTATTTTAATAATAAATATTAATCCCTAGATACATTATTTAACGAAACATGTTTATTAACTTATTAGTTAATATCTCTTTACGTCGTTCATGATAGTATAAACATTGAGTATAGTGTATAACCGAATAGGTATTACCTAGGTATTCATCTATATATATTTTCAAAATTATTGTATTATTATAGTAAAATTCATAACATATAAAAGTTTTAAGCCCCTACAGGACATACATTTTTTTGAATTATAAAAAAATAATTTACATCGTTATTCAGTTTTAATAGGAATATAATTTCAACTAAAGTTAGAATTTAAGTGTTTATGAAAAAATATTCTTATTCTTATGTGTTCTTCAAATATTTTTACATGACTAAAAAAAACAATATTTATATGGGATCTTGTATTATATTTTCAAGCATTTTACTGAAATACTGAATAAAAACATTTTTATCGACACCTATTGGCTATTTATAAAAATAAAACTTTAAATAATTGAATTAATTTGAAAAGCTAAATTACTGTGTTTATACATTTTTTGATTCTATGGTTGTACTGTTATAGTATTGTGTTGAAGTAGGTACTTATGAGGAATTTGGCATTACAATTATTGTAATTAAAAAATGTAAAAAGGAAATTTGTTATCAACTTAACAGTTTACAAATTAACGATTTTTATGAATTTCAATATTTCATCAAAATGATCACATAGTTTTTTCTTTAATCGCCAAATTTTTTTAGACTAAAATCGAGAAATATAATATAACTTAAATTTGTAAAAAAAAAATATAGTAATAAACTAATAAACGTGTCTAAAAAAACTATTGGCGTCGTTAAACAGACTAGAAATAAAGATTGGTTTGATGAGGCTTGCATAGAAGCCTTGAATAAAAATAATCAAGCAAGAATGAAAACTTTGTTAAGAGAGACTAGACAAAATCATTACAAATATAGAAACTTAAGGAAAAAAAACGAAAACCATATGCCGTAAAAAAAAAAAAGAAATGATGAAGCAAGTGGAAAATATCAAAGAAATAAATATGATTAAAAATAGACAATTCTATAAAAATAACAACTGGTTCTGAAAAGAATTTCAAATTTCAACCTAGGTCAAATACCTATATGCAAAAGAAAAGACGGATTAATAATTAAGGAGGAAAAAGACATAATAGAAAGGTGGAAGGAATATATATTTTAACGATTTACTCAATAAAGAGTATAAAGACACAATTAGGAATACGATAGAAAACTAGAAAAAATATCATATGGTCCTTGGTCCTCAATCTTTGAGAAACTTACAATAAATGAATTTGGTGTAGCTCTTAGCAAATTAAAAAATTATAAAGTCTTGGTGAGGACGAAATATCAGAGGAATTGTTAAAAATCAGTAGGTACTCAGAATTATAAGGGCACGCTATTCGAACTCATAAATCACATCTGGGAAAAAGAAGAAATGTCAAAACTCAAAAGATTGGAGTAGGTAAGTAATTGTATCATATGTTCTACATTCGAGAAGGGTAATAGAGTAGAATGTGAAAACTGATATACATCTCTTATTAATTAACTATTGACGGGCATTTAATAGCAATAACAAAGTGGCAATAGCATTAGCAAAAAATGGTGTCCCATAATAAAACTGATAAAAATGATACTTATCCAATACGATTGCCAAAGTTAAGGTTGGTGGAACAATGAGTTACTAATTGATCATTCCATATTAAATCAAGGGTTAGACAAGGAGACACTTTGTCATCTACACTGTTTAACATTGTCTTACTTGAGCTGTTATCAACACAATAGTTTGGAAGCATCATTAATAAATCGCGGTAAATTTGCGTGTACACTGTACATAGTACATTGATGACATTAAATAATAGCAAAAAAAAAATGAAAATACCACGAGAGAAGTTTATACTAATATTGAAAATAAATTATTTTTTATGAAATTAAAAATTAACACAGAAAAATTATATAAATACATGAAACTATGCTCAGTGGAAGCATGTCAAAGTGTTCAAACCATTAAAATCGGCGTAAATAGCTTTGAAGTCGTTAAGTTTCAAGTAACCTAACTTATCTTTGATCTTCCCTTAATAATAATAATTTTAATAAATCATGTCCGAAAAAATAAACAGAAGAATTTTGGCTGGTAATCGCGCATACTTTGCTAACATCACCACTCCTTAGATCAAAGCTGCTATTAAATCTACCAAGATGAAGCTATATATAACTCTTATAAGATCTGTATTATGTTATGGTTCTGAAACTTGGACATCATCAGATGTGGATAGCAATAAATTAAAAATATTTGTAAGAAAAGTGGTTAGAAAAATATGTAGTGTTGTATTTGAAAAAGGAAGTTGAAGGATAAGAAGTAACAACAAAATTGAATAAATTTTAGAAATGGAAAATATAGTATGAAAGCAGAAGGAATAAGATGATTAGGTAATGTACAAAAAAACGGACAAGGAGAAAATGCTTAAATTAATAATGTATGCAAGAATGGAAGGAACAAAAAGCAGATGATTGGATGATGTAAAAAAGATCTACAACAGTTGGGTATACAAAATTGGAGAAATACAACTGAAGACTGAGATGAGTGGAAAAGGATTGTTTTGGAAGCCAAGAGTCATGGACTATAGAGCTTAGGAGTAGTAGTAAAAATGTATAAAGTTAGAAATTCCTAATCTGACATATGGATTTAGATGATTTATCAAATAACAAATTACATGGTCTATTTGATTAAATAAAAAGAAAAATTAATAATTCAAAAATATAAGTACACATTTATATTTAATTTATAATTTATAGATATCACTGTATAAAATATATAATTTTTTAGATTATGAGCAAATAAATGTATTGATCTTACAATAATGTATGTTTATCATAACCCTTTGAGGCAGTAAAAATACTTAGATTTTCAATTATGGGATGGTTTTGGTAACAAATTGGATCTAGTTGACCAAAAATATAAAAAATAAAACTTTGTAATAGAATTTGT